GGGATGCTAAAAACTAACCAAAGGCCTCGTTCTCCTCCATTTGTTTCCAGGAGCGACAGAGAACATCTTGTTGTTTTATTAGCGGTGGTGTGGAGGGAATTGAGTGTCTGTCAGAGTGTGTGTCAGGTGTCAGTGAGGGACGTAAAGCCCACCTGCCTCTTGTCTCTCTGGAGAGAGAGCCAATCCAGATAGACGGGGAGTGCTGAATGCAGTGTTGTATAATTTCCCACTCTGTTCATTTTTTTACGCCAGGGTATAAAACATGTTGCCTTTAATTTAGGGGGCAAGCTTCAACCATAGTGGAGGGATGGCAGTAAACATATGTGTCTGTCACTAGTTGACAGTTATTGGGAGAGAATTGAGACCCCTGTTTATTTCTCATTGAGGCGTTGGAGAACCATTGCTGTGACCTTGGTTTCAATGTAAATCTCCATATCACAATCTGGAGATGAGGTAGTGCAACTGGTGATGTCAAGGTCTCTCCCCTCTCTCTCTCTCTCGCTCTCGCTTCTACTTAAACATAATGGGTGAAAGCTTTTTAGCAAGAAAAATCCCCACCATTCTGTGGAATGGCTAACAAACTGATTTAGATTATTACGTGATCAGTCCATCTCTGGAAGTCAAGAGACAGATGGCGAGTTCCCACAATGCACCTCTGTGGTAACTCCCACCTCCCCACACCTGTCACACGGTTGATGGACACATGCAGTGGCCAGTAGTTGATGTGTAGGCTACTTCTATCAGCACACACACTTTTATTTTTGTGAGATATAACATGTGAGTGATTCTATAACCACATATTAGCTGTGTCATACCAGTTAATTTACCCCTGTATGATGATGCTGACACCTACATGTACAGTAGTATAATGTGGCCTATGGTATACCTCACTGAATCAGTGAGAACTGGACTACTCTGAAATGTAACACTCTCAGTTCCTATTAACTCCCTCAACTTATCTTTTCCCAACTGTTCTCCATCATGAAAACAAGAAAACAAAACTTGTGTTGTTGTTTTTTGTTTTAGCCTTTCCTTGAATACATTCCCCTAGTTGTCCATTTCCTTCTGCAATTATCTCACAGGGCAGAGACAAGCTCACTAGTGGTGCGCAGGTCAGCTGTTTGTTCACCCGCATCCGCCCGACTAGGCCTATATGTGATAAAGTAAAAATCTGATGTCCACACCCGAACCTAACCCTTTAATATGTAACTCTGTGTTGTTGTTGTTTTTATCGCACTGCTTTGCTTTATCTTGGCCAGGTCACAGTTGTAAATGAGAACTTGTTCTCAACTGGCCTACCTGGTTAAATAAAGGTGAAATATAATATAAAATATAAAATATCGAAAATGCGCTGTAGGCTACAGAGAAGGCGGTACAATTTTTTGACAGGTGGTGTATGTTTCTGCTTATAATTTCCAACATTTTGGTAGGCTATTTCTTAGTCAATTTGTTTATAATTAAATATAAATATTTCATGACCCCAAACCCGCCCGCCCCACGGGTATATCCGTGGGGACTGCGGGTTAAAAGCAGCGGCATGTATACATGGCTGCCAAGAGAAACCAGGCTTCCCCAAAAAAATTACCAAGAAAGAAAGAAAAATACATAAAATAATGTATCTTTCGTCTCTGTGTTTTGTGTTTCATAATTTTCCTTCAATTAGCAAGAGGCTGAATGCATCTCACCGGAGAAAGCAATCCGAGTGAGAGAAACAGCGCCCCTCTGTCTCTGTATGTGTTGGCCATCTATCTGATGCTGTCTTGTCAAAAAGAGTACGACATTGTTGCCACCCGTAGCATTGAATGCAAGGGAAGGAAGCCAGCGAGCACTTGGCCACCCTTGATTTTTTTTTTAAGTATAAAATAAAAGCCAATCAGCGTTGAGCTCAATTGAGTGAGCTCAACTGTGAATGGTCCTGGCGCACCAAAAAAAGTGTCAAGGGAAGCCAGTTTGGATTTGGCTTCTCTCAAATCACACCAAATGAGAGCAATACGTCATTGACAGACACAACTTTAATTGTTGGATCTCATTGTGTTGTTGTCAAGTGGCTAGCTGGCTAGCTAAAAGTGGCCCTTTCCTAAATTAGCCAAGGACTGAGATATGGATTTGGACTTGTGGTTTTACTTAATTCTCTGTACTGGCCAATAATTATAACCAATTCTGATCCAACCATAAATTCATACATTGTGCCCCTGGCCTGAGAGGATGGGAGTTCACTATGTAGCTAGATGTAGAAGGCTAATGTTAACTAGCTAACGTTGCCCATGAAAAGGAAGTTAGGCTAGTGAGCAAGCATTTTAGCCAGGTAGTAAAAAAAAAAAAAAAAAGTGTGTACAGCATGACAGAGTCATAGACTGTTTAGTCAACGTGAAAGAGAGGAGGATGGCATTGGCTTTCTCTACAAGTAGGGGGAGTCAACATGTTGCACGAATGCACGCACAGAAATCAGAACCATGGACAGCCACATCATATTTAGCTTACCTTGATTGGACTAAATTGTTTTTGGTATCTTTTAGTTGGAAAGAAGTAGAAGGTGCTCAACCAACGTGAGTAGAGGTGCAACCTAAAAATGTGTAGACATCATTGGACAGGAAAAGGTGCAAAGCTCGCTCACCATTAAAAATGCACAGTTTTATTAGACAAGTTTAAAAGATTGACGTTTCGGCCTTCAATGGCCTTCTTCAGAATCATTATGGTGAGTGATTATTGCGCCCTTTCCTGTCCAATGGTAGGATATCTTTTTGTTGTCACTGTATTAGACTAAGCGTAGGTGATTTGATGATGTTGAAATGTTAAAGTTGAAATGGTGCTGGAATTGTGGGGGCAGCTCCTGTTTTCTTTGCAACTTGTGGTAACTCTCTGTGGTTCTAAATCAATAGTTGTTTAGTAGTCCGAAAATGTCAGAAACATTAACTTGCTTGACCATGCTTTATGTCATGTAACTGTTTGTTATATGCAATATGCTTTGTGTACTTCACCAGACAGAGGTTTCACGCATGGCTTTTCTTAAGATCCTAACAATTTACATATGGATTTTCTTAAGATCCTAACGATATGTACGTTCAACCTTTTGGCATCTACCTGGCTCCATAGCATGCGGACGGACGCCTTTTTGAGTCAACCCGTGCATCACTAAAGCCCACATTGCGCGCCCACTATTGGTATTGGGGAAAATGTCTCTGTTGAATCCCAAATCACCCCCTTCCCCTCGCCCCTCCATTTGCGCTTTCACACGCGCCTCCACAATTTGCAAAAGTGTCCCAAAGCTGAGGGAGTGAAAATTATTGAAGGTGTAGGGGCTAATTAGACCCTCAGATAGCCACTTCGACGGAGCCAGCAAGGATGCAGGTTTCAAAGCGAAGTGCTATCCCGACACCCACTGCGATATGTTTGGAGTTTGGACAATTTCATACAACATAATGGAGAGGCGTGGCTAATTACACGTGCATTTGTTTATGTCTGATTTCGAGACTTGACAAATGTAACAGATGAAATACCTCCCAAATAAAAATGTTACTCTTATTGAGGTTTATATATTCTAAAACGATAGGGGGATTTGTTCATTTGAATGTCATGCTCGTTTTATTATTTAAAAGTGGAACATGAATTGCATCATTCAAGTAAGGAGTGTGTCACGAAGTTGATGGGTTTATTGATCCCATCGCCACTCTCTGGAAGTCACCCTCGGAGTTTCGTCAGCAACAGTGAGAAAGGAGGCCCCTACGAGCGAGTTGGTAGGGGCGAGAGGGTGATTTGGGATTCACAGTCTGTCTTTGCCTAACCTGCGCTGTCCATGGTGCAGAAACCACTGGTCTGGCTTAGGAAATCAGAATAAAAGGCTATTTAGAGGCTTGTGTATTATTTCGATGAAGAAGAATGGCATCATTAGCAAAATGTTAACATGAACCACTGTTAACCTGTGGATCTTAATCAGCTAATCAGCCTCCTACCAAGACGCATGAAAAACAAGCAGGTTGACGTTTATTGTCGTGAATCTTGCCCTGGAGGCAGAATTGAGCGATTTCCGCTTGATGGGACAGCTGCGAAGTCAAAATGGGCTATATCGTAAAAATTCATGAAAACAAAAGTGTGCTTTTTGGTCTTAATTTAAAGTTAGGGTTAGGCATTAGGGTTAGAAGTGTGACTAAGGTTAGGGTTAAGGTTAGGTTTAAAATGAGATTTTATGACTTTGTGGCTGTGCCACCTTTTGACCACTCTGCAGAGCTGCCTCCAGGGCAAGATTCATGACAATAAATGCCAACCTGCGAAAAAAACACAGGCAAACATATAAAAAAATATTTGTGCAAACAATAACGGTATTAAAAGCCAAGTGCAAGCAGAAACTAAAAACAAGGTGCTTGATGAATAACATATTTACACAGTGGTTGTGAGGGGGTATGCTTTAAAGATCTTAATACAGGATTAACATGCAGGCGGAGTCTCATGAGCCATTAGGTCTGTTATGCTATCTGTTCAGTATATGGACGGGTACCATAATGGAGTATGATTTCTAAGCTGTTGTCCCAGACATCTTCGTAGAACATGAGGTGCTTAGACCCACGTCCCTCCAATATTAATGGGGCGTGAATAGATCAGTGTCGAGGTAAATTAAACCATGCAGGCCTTAGTCTGTGCCCCGTAGGACATCCATCTCCAACCGTCCCCGCCACAAACACCGACAGTGACACCGGCAGTGACACCCCTGGATGGAGACTGGAGGAGTGAGACAAGAATACAGGATGTGGAGTGGAGTACAGCTCCAGACAGTCAGACAAAAACGCAGCGCAATGCCATTCTTAGCTAACGCCCCATTAAAAACATGTATTAGGCCACACATTCTAGGCTAAATCTATTGGGAGGATGGTTCATTTATGGTTAAAATTATATATCTAATCTACAATCTATTTGAAGAATGAATGTGATCTTAAACATGACAACAAATTCCACAAATAAACTGACATAATAGAAAACATAATTTATTGAAATACTTATTTTCAATGGACGTAGTGTACTGGAATAAGCTACTATAAGACATAAAACATTTTTGTAACATACGGACATTGGTGGAACAATAAATATGACATCTGACTCCTTACTTTCATCTTTGTTGCTTATTTTTGATACATATATATCTTAATAGGCTATATATCTTGAGTGGAAACAGACAGATTTTCAAGCAAAATATACCACATCACACGGAAATGTCTTCTGTATACGGGCGGATGGCATATCTTGGCTCCCCAAACCCCACAAATACAAACAAATGACGCACAGCCGCTTACAGGGGCGCCCGGACAACGGGCATCTTGCTCTAGGTATGATAGAGTCTAATAATGTAGTTCACATCCCTGCATGTCTAGGTTTAGTCCGGATACAAAATGAAACCGGAAAACGTGCTGTACTTGTTGTTGTTTCCCCCATGCGCCTTGCCTCCGTCCAGCTTGATGTAGATCTCGTCCCCGGAGTCTAGATGAAGCACTACACTGTTGCTGGCGTAGTCATAGTTCTGGTCTGCGTCTTGGGCTATCGCACTGGCGCGGACCTGCGGATAAGATACATTATTAGAGTAGTGAAGGACTTTGCAACATTAATTAATAGGCTACTGACTGACTCGTGCCCACCCTTGACCCAATGCTAAAACATTATAGATTCACCACTTTGAACCTACCAAACTAATAAAGGATTTCTTGTTTGTTTATGTTGGCAATGTGTATAGGCTACACAGCTCAAACCGCTCCAGGTGGCTGACCAGGGTAGGGCTGACCGCTACAGTAGACGACAAAGGTCTTGTTAAAACCACCGAGCGATTAGTTTGTCTTTGCTGGCAAATAAAGTGGCATAAGCCTATTAATTCACTGACTGAACTCACTGAGTGAGATTAAGTGCACGGAGCAGATGCCGTTTTGGAGAGACAAGCGCTTTCTGCGCGTAATAACTATCCAAGATCAATCTGGGTCAATGCACAGTGGATGTGGCCGCTCTCCTTCAATTACAGAAGTGTATAGCATATCATGTTGACTTTGCATAAGAGGAAATATAATTGCGTAATATAAGGTATAGCCTACCTGTCCGTTTTTGCACAAATCTGCCCACATGCTGGTCCCGTCGCCTCCGCGCATTAACACATGGTATGTAAAGTAGTAGATCCCGGACACTTGACACGTGAACTTGCCGGTAGACGGGTCGTAATGGTTCCCCAGGTTTGTCACCACGTCGTCGAACCTTAGCACCTCGTATCCCTCGTGGGGGTTTTTCAGACCCAAGTAAAATGCGATTTTTGTGCCACCAATTGCGGAGTCTCGGTCCTCGCCATTCTTTGTCCTGGCACTACTCACAGTCCCCTTAGCCGACTCCCCCGTGGTAAGGCCGGGAAAAGCCGGTTTCCCTGAGTTCCCCCTGTCCCCCGGCGGTCCTCTTGGACCGGGTGGACCCGGTTCGCCTGGCGGACCTCTCGGTCCGGGTTTCCCCGGCCGACCCGGATCGCCTTTAGTCCCATGCGAGAACGCCGGGGATGGGATGGCGCTCAGGTCCTGCATGACTTCCAGAGCATTGGCGCTGGGTTTGGGGTTGTATGGATCACATATCATCCGACAGGTGCCCATCATCTCGTAGTGTGCATCCGTCTTGGATGCTTGGACCAGCAGCGGTATCGCTATGATAAGCGCTAACACCATGACGATGCCAACCACAGCAGCAACGACACGCTTCCTCTGGAGAGTCCGAGAAGCAAGCGCTAAAAAGTCTGTTTTGCTTTGGGAAGTAATGGTGAAAGGTTGTGAGTGCGCTAAAATGCAATGCAGACAAAGCGAGTGCACTAAAAAGGAATCACTCTATTCCAGGAATAAAATAAAAAAAATGAAAACAACAAATGTGTTGTAACCTTAAGATTAGTTCACCTTGGGGCGCTTAACGCTGTGCCAGTATCACTACGCTTCACAGAGTTGACAGGGGAAGTATTCGTTTTGGCATGGCTGAACACGCGCTGGATCTCCGAGCTGAATAGAGAAAGCTTCGAGCGATTTCTGCCCGTCTGCAACAACAGAGGGGAGTAGAGCGGCGCTGACGTAAGAAGTTGAGGGCAAAGCCTGTTGCAATTTAGATTAAGACTGCAACAATAATCATTCCATCTTTATGTATGAATTATAAATCCTCTGCACCTACCAGAATATTGGATCAGAGAGCGTCACTAATTCTTAAAAGTCTAGGGGGGTTCTAAACTGACATATGGAATTGGTTTAAGGTCATAGAGAGCATCACTAACACTTAAACCCCATTATTGAAATGTTGACAGGGAATTCTCTCCCCCTTATTTCTACTTATTTGAGAGAAGACATCTACAGTGCCTTCAGAAAGTATTCACACCTCTTGATTTTTTCCACATGTTGTTGTGTTACATTGTGGGATTAATATGGATTTAAATGTACTTTTTTTGTCAATGATGTACTGAAAATACTCTGTAATGTCAAAGTGGAAGAAACCTTTAAAAATGTTTTGTTTAATAATGGAAAATAAAACACTAATGTATCTACATGTTAAAATCACATTTGGCAGCGGTTACAGCTGTGAGTCTTTCTGGATAAGTCTCGACGAGCTTTCCACACCTGGATTGTACAATATTTGCTCCATATTCTTAAAAAAATTATTCAAGTTCTGTCAAGTTGGTTGTTGATCATTGCTAGACAGCCATTTTCAAGTCTTGCCATAGATTTTCAAGCCGATTTAAGTCAAAACTGTAACTAGGCCACTCATGAACGTTCAATGTCGTCTTGGTAACTCCTGTGTGTATTTGGCCTTGTGTTTTAGGTAATTGTCCTGCTGAAATGTGAATTTGTCTCCCAGTGTCTGTTGGAAAGTAGACTGAACCAAGTTTTCCTGAAAGATTTTGCCTGTGCTTAGCTCTATTCCGTTTCTTTTTATCATGAAAACTCCCTAGTCCTTGACGATGACAAGTGTAACCGTTTTGCTTCTGTCCTTCTCCTCGCCCCTATCTGGGCTTGAACCAGGGACCTTCTGCACACATCGACAACAGTCACCCTCGAAGCACCGTTACCCATCGCTCCACAAAAGCTGTGGCCCTTGCAGAGCAAGGGAAACAACTACTTCAAGGTCTCAGAGCGAGTGACGTCACCGATTGAAACGCTACTAGCGCGCACCGCTAACTAGCTAGCCATTTCAGACCGTTACACAAGCATACCTATAACATGATGCAGCCACCACCATGCTTGAAAACGTGAAGAGTGGTACTCAGTGATGTGTTGTGTTGGATTTACACCAAACATAATGCTTTGTATTCAAGACAAAAAGGTCATTTCTTTGCCACGTTTTTTGCAGTATTACTTTAGTGCCTTATTGGAAACAGGATGCATGTTTTGGAATATTTTTTATTCTGTACAGACTTCCTTCTTTTCACTCTGTCTTTTATGTGAGTATTGTGGAGTAACTACAATGTTGTTGATCCATCCTCAGTTATCTCCTATTAAACTCTGTAACTGTTTTAAAATCACCATTGGCCTCATGATGAAATCCCTGAGCGGTTTCCTTCCTCTCCGGCAACTGAGTTAGGAAGGGCGCCTTTATCTTTGTTGTGATTGGGTGTATTGATACACCAACCAAAGTGTAATTAATAACTGCACCATGCTCAAAGGGAAATGTAATGCCTGCTTTAATATTGTTTTACCCATCTACCAATTGGTGCCTTTCTTTGCGAACCATTTGAAAACCTCCCTGGTCTTTGTGGTTAAATCTGTGCTTGAAATTCACTGCTCGACTGAGGGACCTTACAGATAATTGTGTGTGTGGGTTACAGAGATGGGGTAGTCATTTAAAAATAATGTTAAACACTATTATTGCACACAGAGGGAGTCGATGCAACTTATTATGTGAGTTTTTAAGCACATGTTTACTCCTGAACTTATTTAGGTTTGAAAACATTTTTACATTTTACATTTTAGTCATTTAGCAGACGCTCTTATCCAGAGCGACTTACAGTTAGTGAGTGCATACATTTTTCATACATCATTGCACTTTGACATTATGGGGTATTATGTGTAGATCAGTGACACAAAATCTCAATGTAATTTATTTTAAATTCAGTCTCTAACACAGCAACATTTGGAAAAAGTCAAGGGGTGTGAATACTTTCTGAAGACACTGTAAGTGCACGTTTTTGTTATAAAGATGTCCTGTGAAATTGCATTATTTATTATATTCAATGCATCAAGGTGAGGAAGATGTACACTGCTCAAAAAAATTAAGGGAACACTAAAATAACACATCCTAGATCTGAATGAATGAAATAATCTTATTAAATACTTTTTTCTTTACATAGTTGAATGTGCTGACAACAAAATCACACAAAAATGATCAATGGAAATCAAATTTATCAACCCATGGAGGTCTGGATTTGGAGTCACCCTCAAAATTAAAGTGGAAAACCACACTAAAGGCTGATCCAACTTTGATGTAATGTCCTTAAAACAAGTCAAAATGAGGCTCAGTAGTGTGTGTGGCCTCCACGTGCCTGTATGACCTCCCTACAACGCCTGGGCATGCTCCTGATGAGGTGGCGGATGGTCTCCTGAGGGATCTCCTCCCAGACCTGGACTAAAGCATCCGCCAACTCCTGGACAGTCTGTGGTGCAACGTGGCTTTGGTGGATGGAGCGAGACATGATGTCCCAGATGTGCTCAATTGGATTCAGGTCTGGGGAACGGGCGGGCCAGTCCATAGCATCAATGCCTTCCTCTTGCAGGAACTGCTGACACACTCCAGCCACATGAGGTCTAGCATTGTCTTGCATTAGGAGGAACCCAGGGCCAACCGCACCAGCATTTGGTCTCACAAGGGGTCTGAGGATCTCATCTCGGTACCTAATGGCAGTCAGGCTACCTCTGGCAAGCACATGGAGGGCTGTGCGGCCCCCCAAAGAAATGCCACCCCACACCATGACTGACCCACCGCCAAACCAGTCATGCTGGAGGATGTTGCAGGCAGCAGAACGTTCTCCACGGCGTCTCCAGACTCTGTCACGTCTGTCACGTGCTCAGTGTGAACCTGCTTTCATCTGTGAAGAGCACAGGGCGCCAGTGGCGAATTTGCCAATGTTGGTGTTCTCTGGCAAATGCTAAACGTCCTGCACGGTGTTGGGCTGTAAGCACAACCCCCACCTGTGGACGTCGGGCCCTCATACCACCCTCATGGAGTCTGTTTCTGACCGTTTGAGCAGACACATGCACATTTGTGGCCTGCTGGAGGTCATTTTGCAGGGCTCTGGCAGTGCTCCTCCTGCTCCTCCTTGCACAAAGGCGGAGGTAGCAGTCCTGCTGCAGGGTTGTTGCCCTCCTACGGCCTCCTCCACGTCTCCTGATGTACTGGCCTGTCTCCTGGTAGTGCCTCCATGCTCTGGACACTACGCTGACAGACACAGCAAACCTTCTTGCCACAGCTCGCATTGATGTGCCATCCTGGATGAGCTGCACTACCTGAGCCACTTGTGTGGGTTGTAGACTCCGTCTCATGCTACCACTAGAGTGAAAGCACCACCAGCATTCAAAAGTGACCAAAACATCAGCCAGGAAGCATAGGAACTGAGAAGTGGTCTGTGGTCACCACCTGCAAAACCAGTCCTTCATTGGGGGTGTCTTGCTAATTGCCTATAATTTCCACCTGTTGTCTATTCCGTCTGTGACATTTATTGTCAATCAGTGTTGCTTCCTAAGTGGACAGTTTGATTTCACAGAAGTGTGATTGACTTGGAGTTACATTGTGTTGTTTAAGTGTTCCCTTTATTTTTTTGAGCAGTGTACATTCCAAAGAAGAATCAAAGAACATAGGAGAAAAAAATCTACATTTACACATTTAGCAGACGCTCTTATCCAGAGCGACTTACAGTTAGTGCATACATAATTTTTTTATCAAACCCACAACCCTGGCGTTGCAAACGCCATGCTCTACCAACTGAGCTACATCCCCTGCCGGCCATTCCCTCCCCTACCCTGGGCCAATTGTGCACGCCACCCCATGGGTCTCCCGGTCGCGGCCGGCTACGACAGAGCCTGGATTCGAACCAGGATCTCTAGTGGCACAGCTAGCACTGCGATAGACCACTGCGCCACTCAGGAGTCTAAATTTGTGATAATACCAAGAGCCATACACTGTAACGGAAAACTGTAATTTAAACTGTAATTTTGGGTAACATCAACAGTAAAAATATAAATAAAAAATTATAACATTTCAAATACTTTGAAACGTTTACTGCACCATACTGGTTTGTGAAGACATGCTCTGATGAAGGTCGACTGACCAAAAGCTCAGGCACAATTAAAGGTCCTCTGTAGCTCAGCTGGTAGAGCACGGCTCTTGTAACGCCAAGATAGTGGGTTCGATACCCGGGACCACACAACTGTATGCACGCATGACTGTAAGTCGCTTTGGATAAAAGCGTCTGCTAAATGGCATATTAATTATAATTATAATTATAAAGATATTTGCATCTGACAGGAAGTGTGCAGATACTTTTTCCTGTTTCTCCAGCTTTGCCTTTTGCCTCCAGCACCTTCATAATCAGCTCTGGGTGCGTGGTAGATTCAGCCCATTAACTGCATCATACTCAAAATGATGGTGCATTGTGGGAAAATGTTGTGGTTGGTGAAATAATTGCTGTATTTCCAATGGTACTGTAATTCCACCCCACAGAATACAGTACTGTACTATATCTTTGGAATGCCCAAAACCTTTTGACTACTAGTGGGTGCATGGTATTGTTGTTTCTGTCTTATTAACATATTTTGAGGCATGTTTTGTAAGAGGCTATATTTGTTGCACCCATGAGTGGGAATGCTGTACCAATTTAACTCCAATGTGGTTGGCAGGTTGACAGTTATTGTCATGAGTCTTGTCCTGGAGGCAGAACTGAGCGATTTCCCCTTCGATAGGCCAGTTGCAAAGTCAAAATTGGCTATTTTGTCAAACTTAATGAAAACTAAAACGAGTGTTTTGGTCTTAATTTAAGTTTAGGGTTAGGCATTAGGGTTAGCAGTGTGGTTAAGGTTAGGTTTAAAATCCGATTTTATGACTTTGTGGCTGTGCTAGCTAGTGACCACTCTGCAGAGCTGCCTCCAGAACAAGATTCATGATGAAAAACGCTAACCTGCATGTGGTTATAGTGCCCTTTCAATTTAAAATGTGTAGGCCGGGAACAGATTGGAGTGGAAGCAAGTCTTAAACCTTAAATGGTTGAGCATTTTGCCATGTCCTTTTGGTCTGTTTTGCCCTGTAGTCGCTGCCAGTTTGAAAGTCTTTGTTAAGGCTTCTAGAGGAGCAAGTGATATAAAACACAAAATATTCATTAATACTGTAATGTGTAAAAACTACCAAGCAGCCAACTTGCTTGCACCAACCAGCCTCCCCTCAATGAATTTCATTCATTAATTCATATTACGGTAGCATTTACTTTTTACAGTATAATACAGTCCATTTTAAGGTATTGTACTGTGTCATTACACATTACTTGCTTTGATACCATATTTATATTACAGTAGGTGTACTGTAATATGAAAGACAGAATTTAACTTGCCTGTAAGTTACTGTCAAATTCACGGCAGCCCCTTTACAGTGTATATCTGGAATCCACAATGAGAAATTGTGTCTTCACCAGCACAGTAGCCTAATCTTTACCATAAAGCCAAGGCTGAAGCAATGCAGTGCCCTGTACTGATGTTGCATGTAATGTTGAGCACTTAGTCGTAAAACAGTGGTTTTGGTGTAAAACAGCTAAAATAGGCCTATTTCATTCTGACACAGAGACTTTGAGACAAATTTTCCGTGTCCAACTCAGGTCTCTTGCGGGTCTTATTAAACTTATCACATGGTCATAAGACTGTGATTGTGGACTTCAGGAAACAGCAGAGGGTGCACCCCCCTATCCACATTGACGGGACCGCAGTGGAGAAGGTGGAAAGCTTCAAGTTCCTTGGCGTACACATCACCGACAAACTGAAATGGTCCACCCAAACAGACAGTGTGGTGAAGAAGGCGCAACAGAGCCTCTCCAAAATCAGGAGGCTGAAGAAATTCGTCTTAGCACCTAAAACCCTCACAAACTTTACAGATGCCCAATTGGAGAGCATCCTGTCGGCTTGTAATCACCACCTGGTAGGCGGCAACTTGCACCGCCCCAACCGCAGGGCTCTCCACAGAGGGTGGTGCTGTCTGCCGACATCATTACCGGGGGCAAACTTACCCTCGCCTCCGCAAGACACATACGAACCCGATGTCACAGGAAGAAAAAAGATCATCAAGGACATCAACCACCCGAGCCACTGCCTGTTTCAACCCCGCTATCATCCATAAGGGGCGGTCAGCGTGCAGATTCAGATCAAAGCTGGGACCGACAGAATGAAAACAGTCTTCTATCTCACGGGGCCATTAGACGTAAATCCACCACTAGCACCTATGAGGCTGCTGCTGCCTAATAGAAATCACTGGCCACTTTAAGAAATGGAACTACACCTAGTCACTTAATAATAATGTTTTTACATCTTGGACTACCATCGCATATGTATAATCTGCTTCTATTCTATAATATTCTTCTGTATCTTATACATGCCGCTCTGTCATTGCTTGTCCATATATGTATATTTTCTTAAATCCCATTCCTTACTAGTTTTGTGTGTATTGGGTATATGTTGTGACATTTTTACATATGACTTGTTAGATATTACTGCACCGTCGGAGCTAGAAGCACAAGCATTTCGCTACACCCGCTATAACATCTGCTAAACACGTGTATGTGACAAATACAATTTTGATTTGATTTGATAACCCGCTGAGCTAAAGCCCAGGAATTAGCTTGGGGAGCTTACAGAAGTCTTTAGGTGTCATGCTTTGTTACTCATCATAAGAGCATTGCAACAGTGTAACAGAACATTACACTGCCATTACACTGGAAATCACAAGGTACAGTGCATTCGGAAAGTATTCAGACCCCTTGACTTTTTCCACATTTTGCTACGTCACAGCCTTATTCTATAATGGATAAAATAAACAAAATTCCTCATCAATCTACACACAATACCCCATAATGACAAAGCAAAAACAGGTTTTTAGGAATTTTTGCAAATGTATTTAAAAAATACACAGAAATAACTCGAAATTAAGCTCAGGTGCATCCTGTTTCCATTGATCATCCTTGAGATGTTTCTACAACTTGATTGGAGTCCACCTGTGGTAATTTCAATTGATTGGACATGATTTGGGGCGGCAGGTAGCTTAGTGGTTAAGAGCGTTGTGCCCGTAACCAAAAGGTCGCTGGTTCTAATCCCTGAGCCGACTAGGTGAAAAATCTGTCGATGTGCCCTTGAGCAAGGCACTTAACCCTAATTGCTCCTGTAAGTCGCTCTGGATAAGAGCATCTGCTAAATAACCAAATATACATGTCAGAGCAAAAACCAAGCCTTGAGGTCGAAGGAATTGTCCGTAGAGCTCCGAGACAGGATTGTGTCAAGGTAGCATTGAAGGTCCCCAAGAACACAGTGGCCTCCATCATTCTTAAATGGAAGAAGTTTGGAACCACCAAGACTCTTCCTAGAGCTGGCCGCCCGGCCAAACTGAGCAATCAAGAGAGAAGGGCCTTGGTCAGGGAGGTGACCAAGAACCCGATGGTCACTCTGACAGAGCTCCAGAGTTCCTCTGTGGAGATGGGAGAACCTTCCAGAAGGACAACCATCTCTGCAGCACTCCACCAAGCAGGCCTTTATGGAAGAGTGGCCAGATGGAAGCCACTCCTCAGTAAAATGCACATGACAGCCCACTTGGAGTTTGCCAAAAGGCACCTAAAGGACTCTCAGACCATGAGAAACAAGATTCTCTGATCTGATGAAACCAGGATTGAACTCTTTGACCTGAATGCTACGGTGAAGCATGGTGGTGGCAGCATCATGCTGTGGGGATGTTTTTCAGTGGCAGGGACTGGGAGACTAGTCAGGATCGAGGGAAAGATGAACAGAGCAAAGTACAGAGAGATCCTTGATGAAAACCTGCTCCTCCTTCCAACAGGACAACGACCCAAAGCACACAGCCAAGACAACGCAGGAGTGGCTTCAGGACAAGTCTCTGAATGTCCTTGAGTGGCCCAGCCAGAGCCCAGACTTGGAGAGACCTGAAAATATCTGTGCTGCGACGCTCCCCATCCAACCTGACAGAGCTTGAGAGGATCTGCAGAGAAGAATGGGAGAAACTCCACAAATACAGGTGTGCCAAGCTTGTAGCGTCATACCCAAGATCACTGCCAATGGTGCTTCAACAAAGTACTGAGTAAGGGTCTGAATACTTATGTAAATGTGATATTTCAGTTTTGTATTTCTAATACATTTGCTAAAAAAATAAAAACTGTTTTTGCTTTGTCATTATGGGGTATTGTGTGTAGATTGATGAGGGGAAAAAACGATTTCATCCATTTTAGAATAAGGCTGTAATGTAACAAAATGTGGAAAAAGTGAAGGGGTCTGAACACTTTCCGAATGCACTGTATACTGCTAAATACAAGTGGGTCTACATGCAATTTGTGGCCTGAAAGCCCATGCATGAGAGGGCTGCAAAGTGGCACCACCCTGCTGTTGGCTGGCACTCTCCACTGTAATCTGGCGCAGAGCACCGGCTTCCCTTCTGTTGTTGGGCTCAGCTAATCCTTATCTCCTAGATCCGGGGTTTAACTTCTAACACCCTTGTCTCAGCAGGCTAAACTAGCGGCTAACAAGGCACCAGTGTTTATTCCCCCTCGTTCCTCACTAATGAGTTTCTAACAAAGATCAGGAAGCGGGGGGGCACCGTGTCACCCCCTCCCCCCGATCAACACTCCCTGGGAGCGATAATTAAGTCAATATACTTTGTGATTAGCATCCTTCTCCTGGATTTGGAGAAAGTGTCTCTGAACAAACTCTGAGCTCTTCACTAGTTTTATCAGTGCTGTAATACAAAGTCATTAGAGTGAGTATTGTCAGAGTGGGCCTGTGGGTGTGAGATTGCTTAGCACATTCTAATATTATGATGCCCATCAGGCTTTTCATGAGTCAACATGCACATTCAAAAGGTTTCAGGCTATATCATAGTTAGTACAACCTGCTTTTCTCTCTCTGTACTGTGGTTATAAAGCAAGGCTAATGGGATGTGGGAGCAGCAGCAGGAGTGTTTTTTTTTACTGTAGAAGAGAGGACAGACTCCTAAAATAGGGAACATACATCCTCAGATAGAAGTCATTGTGTACGAACTGGGGGGGTGAAAGGGGAGCAGAGCTTCTGTTATCACCACATCCAGCACTGTTCAAAGGAAGTATGGAGGTAAATTACTGCATGAAGGCTTTCAAATACTGTATCTGTTATATACTTGTCAACTACTATTTGATATAATGTAATATCTCTCCAGGTCTCACATGCTATGGATACATGAGCTTTACTTGCAGCAGTTCCGATCAGAGCATGTGAGTGGAGTTGAGCGGTTGGAAATCATCGTCTCATTGTCCTTTCCAACCGCTTCGCTAAAAACCGCTCCATGCTCACAGAAAATAAAACTGCCACTCCAAATTCGCTCCATTAATTAAAATCACAATTTAATCAACACCCATCTATTATTGTGACTACCTGGACCTACTATTTGGTTTTAAAGTATTGAAACCAAACCATATGGATTTGAATGAAAAGTATTTGAATTACAGTTTTTCTCAATTGCTAAAACACAATTTCTGAAACCTTGCTCCATTTCCTGAAAACATTAAACACAAAACCTCATCTTCAAGCACTATTTACAAAACCTCTGACTCCTCTCGCAAAATGAAACATTCGCCTCAAAACAGTTTTACCTGTGTTCAAAATCAAACACTGCTCTCAAATCATAAACAAAGTGATCAAAATGATATACACTCTCAAGCAGTCAGTAAACAATACACCGAAAAATAGAAAACACATTGTTCAAAACATACAGTTCTCAGGGAGAAGTAAATTTTTAATCTCAAAACAAATTTCATATTTTTCCGTCATTGTCTTTTGATGAACGAAAACATGTTCTATCATAGTAGCTCAAAATTGATCAGAAATTACTGCTCTGCTTTGCTCTTTGCAATTTTGTTTTTTGTTCTTCCTCCTCCTTGTACCCCTATTTTTACAGTACTGTACCCTGCATCTCACAAACTTGTCCTTTGTCTCTGTGATACTGTAATTATTGTTCTTTGTTGATATGAACCTGCAACCAGTCAAAATCTATTGAGCAGTCAGTACTGTTAACAAATGGAAAGCACAATGTTCAGGGCCATACAATTTGTCCATTGTACAGTATACAGCCTACAATGCACTGTACTACAGTATACAATACTAAAAGGGACACAAATCAAAGGAGTAAACATGTGATCAATGTGCTTCTTCTTGTCTTTGGGCTGGGTCAGGCCAGAGCACTTCGTCGATGTCACATGCAATATTGTCCCTCCTGAGGCAACGGGGGAAGAAGCCTCTTGTGTGCCGTATCCAGCCCTGACATGATTCCTCACCTATATCACCACAGGCTAAATATATGGCTTGCAGTAGATTTACTCTGGTGTAGGGTTGCCTATCATACACTTTCCATCTCCAAGAGGAGAAAAACTCCTCAATCGGATTCAGGAAAGGCGAGTATGGAGGGAGGTACAAGTTCATAAACTGCCCATTGATGTTTCTGAATGTACACTTACTTGCACATACTGAGCTCGCAGTTCTTTCACCCTTGGTGAGTTGCGCTCAAAAGGTACTCTGTATACTTGTTTCATTCGCATCCTGTTACGATGGAGGACACGGTCAATTGTGGAAATGCTCACACTGTCAATTCCCTGGAAGTGTGTGTTGTCTTGTATCACTCGTTGCTGGATTTCTCTGAGTCGTATTGCATTATCTTGAAGTACCATGCCAACTATAACGGCCTCTTGCTCCCGAGTGAATATAGCTGTCCTTCCACCTGCATGTGGCAGCCTTGCAATTCTACAAAAAGTAGTTGTGCAGTTACAAAACATATTCATGCAGTACAATACATACAGTGATTAACTTTACAAATGTCTACATTTGCAATTACAAAAATACAGTAGTATACTGTACCTGTTCTCTTCTCTGAATGTCCTTACTATGGTGGACACAGAAAATCGGCTCAAATTGGGTTACACTCTAAGTCCTGCTTCCCTCATTGTCAGTCCATGGACAAGAACATGGTCTATGACTGTTGCTCGAATTTCATCAGATATTTCCACTTTTTGTCTTCCTCTTCCTCTTCGTCCTCCTCTTCCTCTTTCTTGCCCTCGTCCTCCTCTTCCTCCTCTTCCTCCTCGTAGCCCACCTCGCATACGCACTCGTCCTCGTCCTCTCACAATGTTTATTCTATCCATTCTCAGACTTTCTCCTTCCCACCTTCAACAACCTGTTTGCTCTCTGAACTGGCTTATATTGGTTGTGTCGCATCATTTGAAACAGGTTAAATCAATTTTGAGTGGTTGTGTTCAATCAATGACATGTGTTCTCTATTTGTATTTGATTGTTGCCACTTGTGTTTACCAGTATGGATGACATGTGCATTAGAGTGCAGAATGTGTTTTGAGAATGAGAATGTGTTTAGAGTTTTGCTGAAAAGTCTAAGTGAGATCTGCAAATTGTGTTTTACCATGTGAAATGGTTTAAGATATTGACAACAGACTGCATAATTAGCTAAATGGGTTTTAGTGTTTTAACAATTGTGAAAAACTGTAACATGAAAAATTAAACAGCATATAAACACTCTAAATAGGTCAGGAGCCAGACAGGGAGCCTAAGAAGGAACTAAAATGAATGATTTAGGCTATATTATTTCAATTATTTCAAGGCTATAGCCTACAAAGAAATACATTGTGAAGCATTTGCAGTACGACACAATAGGCTGGTAGGGACTTAAAGCGCTCAGCATTTAAACAACATTTAGTTGTATGCAGCCTAAACAGAAAAATACATGCGGTCAGAGACCTACTTGAGCAGCACCGCCCACTCAAGATTCTGAGCCTGCCTGGCAGGGTTGGTCCTACAAAGCCAGAGCCCCCTGATGGGAGAGCATAATATACAAGGAAATTCTCAAAGGTGCTAATGAGAACCTTGATGACCTTGTACCTAGCCGGTGGGGATTCCGGTGGGGTACCCCCACCCAGGTAGTGGCAGTGCTGGCAACAATGGCTGCAGTAACCCATGGGGGGGGGGTCACACTCGGACAATCAGAGAGGGGGCTTATTATTGTGGCCCAAGTGGCCCAAAATGATCAAAGGTCTGACTGCACGGAGATGCTTGGGGAAAATGGTTACAACGGGGGACCAGAGTGTTTGTGTCTCAGGTGAAGAGGGTGAAGAGGGTGGATCTGATCTCCATCACCTAGGACTTGACATAGATTAAATAGATTAATCAAATCTCACATTGTTGTCCATTTTTGCTCAATCTTGCATGCTTTCTCAAACAGCTGTAACTGTATATGCATTCGTAAATCAGGTCCTTTCTTGAGTTGGGCTCTGGGATGTAACAACCATTGAGCATCTGATCTTATGGTTGATTGTGGAGGAAAGGGGTTGAGTGTGTTAGAGTATGTGCGTGTATGTTTAGCCCACATCTGTTGCAAGGGGGTAAGGATGTTAGGGAGAATATAGGATGAACCACAATAATTGTTTGCTTAAGTAATAATTGCTTGTCAAAAATGTAATGTAATACAATGGCAATCCGGGTTATAGGTTTAAATCCTACGCATGAACTGCCAACATTATTACGCATATTAATCGATAATGATGGAAAATAAGATATGCAAGATATTTGAATGGATATATATTTTTAAATAGCTACATATACATATATATATATTGAGGTGAGAGCATTGGAAATTCATTTGGCGGTTGACCTGCTTCTGTTTTGTGGGTGGCACTGTGTGCTGTTTTCGATGGATGGGTCCTGGCCCAACTTGGGATGGGGAGGGGCTTTAGCGGGGGAATTAGTGGAGAACAATTGTAGGGTTACTTAGTACCAATGCAAATATCATGGTACAGCTATATGGATAGTCAATCGCTATGGTATTTTTTATTGGTAAATTTACAAACATATATAATGATAAATAGATTTGAAACTTGTATCCCATTATGGTATGTGGTGAAATAAGTATAGCCAGTTATAATTGTAATAGCTTAGCAGATAATAACAAAAGAAGAACAATATTTACATGGCTCAAAGAGAAGGAATATAATAACTATTGTTTACAGGAAACTCATTCAACAATTCTATAGAGGTGTGTATGATCATTTTATATAAGTTTGGATAATAAGCTTTTGATATAATGATATCTTGGGGTTCCGTACAACACTGCCTGTCATATAATATTGTGAGATGTTAGTTCAGTGAATAGTGACCAGTCTATAAGATTCTGGGAGGATTCTATGACTGAGGGGAAGGGTCTGGGTAGTTAAAGTTGTTGTTCCGCTGGAAGTAGATTATGATAAACTGACTTGTGGTAATAAAGATCCATTAGAAATACGAATGGTTTGGTTGATATGAATATATTAAAATATTATGAATTTTATGTGTGTGTAATTGATTACTAGAGATTGGATACTGCATCACAGTGTTAGCTGTGCCACTAGAGATCCTGGTTCGAATCCAGGCTCTGTCGTAGCCGGCCGCGACCGGGAGACCCATGGGGCGGCGCACAATTGGCCCAGCGTCGTCCAGGGTAGGGGAGGGAATGGCCGGCAGGGATGTAGCTCAGTTGGTAGAGCATGGCGTTTGCAACGCCAGGGTTGTGGGTTCGATTCCCACGGGGGGCCAGTATGAACATTTTTAAAATAATAATATATGCACTCACTAACTGTAAGTCGCTCTGGATAAGAGCGTCTGCTAAATGACTAAAATGTAAATGTAAATGGATAAAGTAATAAGTGGAATAATGTATAGGTACTGACTTGCGCACCCAAAACGTAGACCTACGTGAGGGGTGGGAGACAGTGCATAGATCATTTGATAAGGTTAAGCATTATAATAACTATCTATCATTTCGGAGCAGAGGTGATATAGTAAAGGAATTTTAAATTGTAGGGGAAAAACATAATCCATTTGATTAAACTCGTTAGATCTGTTTCCAAATCAATGAATGTAGATTTGACTCATTGACTGCTAATTCATTCCCTTCGAGCTAGTGAGATATTGGTCCTGTAAAGCTATTTTCTGATAATTGTGTTATGTGACAGATGTTAAGACTACAGACCATTATAATTGGAATAAAGGAGGATTTACTTGTCATTTCAATAAGGCATAGGTTCTGCATTACTGACAAAAATCTAGGTTTTCTGATTATAGTTCGACTATGTTTATGGGTTGCTTAGATTGATAGAACAGTCAGTGTTTATTTTGTGATGTAAGACTGGACGATTTAGCAGCTTGCTTGTTTCAAATTGAAAGACTCATTTATTTAACGTGAATAGTGGGACGATTTTGAAGTAGTAATTTTTTGCATTGCCTAATGATTTGATAGTTTAAACTACTGTGAATAGGGTTGTAATTTGGAATATTGAATTGAATATGGATATTCATTGAATATGTTTGTCAACTATAGCAAGTGTTTGTTTTATTAACTATAGCCTAATCAGAAAGGACAGTTACTTAAATGTAATAGCGGACTGGCAATTACTTTAGAGCTGTGGCCATGATTTTAATTGATAACAAAGGAAAGTAAGTTAATAGGGAAGTGAGAATTTCAAATTTGAATTGTTGGGGTAGACTGAAATAAAAGCAATGTTTTTTAATAATATGAATGCAAATATACTATTAGTTATTGGTGGTTTGTGAATAGACTTTACTGATGCCATGTTTTAGCTTGTGGGTGAAAGAGAGTCGTACTTGCTGGACTGTATCAGGTTGTAAGGGACATTTGAAGCAGAGGTCTGAATAGTTGAATGGGAAACATTCTTTGACAAATTCTAATTGTTATTACTCAATTCTATTGTTTGCATAACACTAGTGTTTGCGTAACACCAGTGACGTATGCAAATAGTTAATGAATTCTAAAACGATAATTAGTTTTCGTTACATGGAACAGTGGATTGCAGGTAGTTTTGACTATTACGCTGATGGGATAGCACCAACTTATTGTGGGTACTAGATTTGTTAAACAACAAATTTATATTTTAACTAAATTAATGCAATAGGCTACAATTATAACATTATCGGAAAAAGGCACAATCTAATGCGAAACAGTTATTACCTATGTCATTGATCCAGTAATGATACCAGGATAATAGTAATAATAGAAGTCTGGGTAGGATAATTTAGGATAGGGACTGGCTGTCCAGATATAAACAGGTAAAGGAGAAAGCTAAAAAGGAAGGTTAGGGAATAAATGCTGAGGCGAAGATTAGAAAGAGAACCACAGGAAAGCAGATACAATATAAGGGATTGTTACATAGGGGAATATACAGTGGCAGCAAACATAAAAATAATAATATATGAGGTACACATGTGGAAGGAAAGAGAACAGATACAAAAATTTTGATACGGGACAAATAGAGCATGTCAATAAAACTGGAGGGTAATTGAAGAGTAGAGTAACGTGGATATTGATAGGGGAAAATAGGGTGTGGTCTGGTGACCCGAGGCTGAACAAACCACTGGGAATATACCTAAGCACAGGAACGCAAGAGTGGTTTTATAAATTTGAGGTAACTTACAGGAAAGTAATGAGAAAGAAAAAGAAAGGGACTAAATAAAAATAATATAGCGTATTATAACAGGAGAGTAAGTGTGTTATCTTGATGGGAGATGAGATGAGGGAACAAAGGAGAAGAAGAATATTAAAAGAAACGCAAGGGATAAAATCTCATTTTTGGAAAGAAGCAGAGTATGAAGATATATTGGGAAAAATAATACCATTAACTGAGGAATATAAAAACTTTCAGCTGAGAGCAATAACAGAAATAACAAATTTAGTGGAAGTAAGAGAAGAGTGGCCATATATAGATTGGACTGGAATAATAGGAAGAAATTGGAGAGTACAGAATATTGGAGAAACTCTTGAAGAAATAGCAGATCAAAAGAAGTTGTATTTTATAATAATCCCAATAGATAAACAGGTTGAACCTTGGCTGGCATTAGGGGAGGAGCAAGGTTTTGAAAGAGGGAAAGGGCAGACATGGAAGACAATAAGGAAACAAATAGAAGTGTCTATAGTATTGAGAGAAGTTCAGTGGGTTATTCCAAAACGAGCGGCAATAATAAGGGAACAATTAGGTACAAGGAAAACAGTAAGGAAAATATTGTTGACTTTACACCCTAATATAGACACTGAACCAAACCAAAGAGCTCCTGCCTTACCAGTAGTGAATGTGTACACACAACAATCTCCTGGACAGTGGCAAAACAAAGGAAATGGAAACAGACCAAAGAATCCATGGCACCGATCACAACAGCAGACATACCAAAATGGTGGACCAGGAGGACCGTTAGGTGTCTGCTGGGGGTGTCATCAATCAGGACATCTAAGAAGGAATTGTCCTACCAACCCATGGTTGCCTAAGCAACCACAGCATGGTAATTGGCAAAGAAATGACACCAGCTCAGATGCATGGCGGCAGTCTCAGATACAGGCTCCACAGGGCCCAGTGAACCCGTGGGGAGGACCAAATCAGGGATACTAGGGATGCCCAGAGAATCCTAGAGGGGAGGGTCAGCTAGTGGCAGTAACTATGCAGGCTGATGAAGAACCTATGCTGCAGGTTCAGGGGAACAATAGAGGCACACCAATGATGATAGATACTGGAGCAACTTACTCATGTGTAAGTCCAAATTATGCCTCTCACCTCCCCATGTCAGGCAAATATACAAAGACAGTAGGATTTTTGGGACAAACGCAGCTAATACCTATGACAGTTCCAGTAAAACTAGAAGCAGGAGGAAAAGCTACCTGCATACCTATATTAGTATCAGAACAAACTCCAGTTAATCTATTAGGGAGAGATGCACTGTGTAGAATGGGCATCCAAATTAAATGCACATCAGAGGGACTAATAACATATCAGGAAGGTGTACGTACACAGATGATGATGGATACAGACAAAACAACAAATGTATACTGGATAGGGAATATAGAATCACCAATACAAGAGGTATTAAAGAAGTGGGGAAAATTCATCAGGGCTCAAGTTCCAGAAATGAGAGTACCAAAATTAGGCTATCATTGTACACTGCAATAGGATCCATATCAAAATAATTTGCTAGAACAACAATGTTTGAGGAAGGCTTGGGGTAAACCGGCCTCCATTAGATCACAATATTTTGTAATAGGGAAACAACGGGCAGCAATGGAAGCACGAGATGCTCCAGGATCTGATATCATACAGTCCTGGTTTGAAATACCAGGAACAGAACCTCACATAACACTTTTAGTGGCTGAGGGATATCAGGCAAAAGACCTAGGACCAATGATGAAAAAGGCTAAAAATACACAGTGGGTAGAAACAGAGAATCCATTCTGTTGACAAAAACCTAATTAAAGTCCTATGCTTTGCAGAACTGATGGGGGAACCACAGGAAGTGGAAATAACAGAGGAAAGACAGATGCCAGTAGTTAAAGAAGAAACAAAACAGGAAAAGCTAACGAAACAAATGGAAAGTATGATCACAGAAGACTTATGGGCAAAATATGATACAGATGTGGGTTTAGTAAATTCAGCTAATCCAATTTGCATTAAAGTAAAGGTAGACACAAGACCCCCATGGAAACAGCAATACTCAATGACACCGAAAGCAGAGGCAGGAATTCAAGCTACAATAGAGGGACTGATAAAAGCAGTAGTACTGGTTAAAACCCAGAGTGACTGTAACATGCCACTGTTACCAGTACTAAAGGCAGACAAACAGAAGTGGAGACCGGTTCATGACCTGAGAGCAGTGAATGAGGTAGTTCAAGACTATAAAGCAGAGGTACCCAATCCCCACACACTGTTAACAAACATTCCACCAGATGCAAAATGGTTCTCAGTAATAGACTTATGTGGAGCATGTTTTAGTGTACCTTTAGCATAAGAAAGTAGACACTTGTTTATATTTACTTACAAAGGACAGCAATTTATATAAACAAGGAATTAGATTGAAACAAACGATTAATAATTTGATGGAGTACAGTGGAATTATCTTCATATTTTGGTTGTAGTTAAAACGTTTGGATGGCTGATTAACATGTACTATAGTGAATGTTAACGAAATGTACACTTTATTTTCCAGGAGAATGGGAGTTTCATTATCTCTCTTTGGAATGTTTCCTGAGTCTGTGAGCTAAGGAGAGCAGTTAGTAAAACTCAGCAATCTTATAATTAGGCCGTAAGAGGGAGCTACCAAATTAAATAAGGCCAAGTCATTTGTTTGTCTTTGCCCTACACCAGCACACACAACCCACCTATTATGAATATTTGGTAGTTGTGTAGGGTTTTTATTTTAGGTTTAGTGGATTTTTCACAGGTTAGAAATAATACTCTTTAAAGGGCACATAAATGACATTTTTGGAAGTTTCTATTGCCAGAGTTTTAATTACACACGTCAATTCTCCTGATAAGAAATGTACTGAAAAAACCCAATGTAAACCTGGTACACAAAATGTTTGAAATGTTTGAAATATCGTTAAATAATATCTAAGGTAAAGGGGAAGTAAAGGGAAAGAGACACTCACTTAAATGGGGTTGAATGACCTCTGACCTCTGTTCTGACTTTCTGGTGAGGCCTGATCACCCTCACTAGAAAGCTAGAGACATTGTTTGAGATTTATATGTAGTATGTAAACACTAATAATTAGGAAGAAGTTTATAATTTAGCAATAGGCCTATGTATGATTCATACCATGACAAGGACAAAGAAAGAGAACTAGCCCTGAATGAGGGACACCTGTCGCTAATCAATTTTACTATTCCTTGAATTACCTATGGGATACAATTAAGTTAAGGTGCTATCAAGGGTTATCATTCTAATTTGATTTGTTATTTTGATTTAACAGACAGTGTTGTTGTTATTTGGGGGGGGGGCTTACCTCTGGCACTAATGAGTTATCGCATGCAAGCTAACAGAATAGCGCATCTAACACCGCATGAAATGCTAACGGGTCGACCCATGCCAGTGCTTAGGGGACCATATGAGGGTCCGCCTCTAGAGCGAATGGAAAGGGAAATAGAAAGTATATCAGGCAACTAACTGTCATATACAGTGGGGAAAATAAGTATTTAGTCAGCCACCAATTGTACAAGTTCTCCCACTTAAAAAGATGAGAGAGGCCTGTAATTTCCTTCATAGGTACACGTCAACTATGACAGACAAAATGAGGAAAAAAAATCCAGAAAATCACATTGTAGGATTTTTTATGAATTTATTTGCAAATTATGGTGGAAAATAAGTATTTGGTCAATAACAAAAGTTTCTCAATACTTTGTTATATACCCTTTGTTGGCAATGACACAGGTCAAACGTTTTCTGTAAGTCTTCACAAGGTTTTCACACACTGTTGCTGGTATTTTGGCCCATTCCTCCATGCAGATCTCCTCTAGAGCAGTGATGTTTTGGGGCTGTCGCTGGGCAACACGGACTTTCAACTCCCTCCAAAGATTTTCTATGGGGTTGAGATCTGGTGACTGGCTAGGCCACTCCAGGACCTTGAAATGCTTCTTACGAAGCCACTCCTTCATTGCCCGGGTGGTGTGTTTGGGATCATTGTCATGCTGAAAGACCCAGCCACGTTTCATCTTCAATGCCCTTGCTGATGGAAGGAGGTTTTCACTCAAAATCTCACGATACATGGCCCCATTCATTCTTTCCTTTACACGGATCAGTCGTCCTGGTCCCTTTGCAGAAAAACAGCCCCAAAGCATGATGTTTCCACCCCCATGCTTCACAGTAGGTATGGTGTTCTTTGGATGCAACTCAGCATTCTTTGTCCTCCAAACACGACGAGTTGAGTTTTTACCAAAAAGTTATATTTTGGTTTCATCTGACCATATGACATTCTCCCAATCCTCTTCTGGATCATCCAAATGCACTCTAGCAAACTTCAGACGGGCCTGGACATGTACTGGCTTAAGCAGGGGGACACGTCTGGCACTGCAGGATTTGAGTCCCTGGCGGCGTAGTGTGTTACTGATGGTAGGCTTTGTTACTTTGGTCCCAGCTCTCTGCAGGTCATTCACTAGGTCCCCCCGTGTGGTTCTGGGATTTTTGCTCACCGTTCTTGTGATCATTTTGACCCCACGGGGTGAGATCTTGATATTTGAAGTGTGGGACCTATTAAGTCCCAAAGGGGGGATGTGTTGGGTATTTTTTCAGTAGGGATGGGTATTTTTTCAGTAGACCATACGGAGCCATGGTACCGAGTGGTACCCAAGATCAGACCATAGGTTAAAAATAGTAAATCTTTCTAGACTATAAAGATTAAAATATAGCTAATTATAAAGACAGAGTGTGGTACAGAATGGTACGGAGGATGAGGCAATAAGACTAAGTGATGTGGAGTGTGGTACTGAGTGGTACACAAGGAGGGAGACTGCGCCAGAGTCAGGAGATGGTCTTGATTGATTATTATACTGTTATGTATGAGGTAATGCATTAGGAAAGTCTTAAATGTATGTGGTTGAGAATGGGTATGGATCTTCTATGTTTAAACCATATATAAGTATCGATTGATATGTTTTGGAATAAACAGAGCAGAGCCAGGTGGTGGCTCTGTAATTTTTTACATGAGAAAGTTTGGTTTGGCCACCATTGTATCCAAACTAAATAAATATAGGAGGAGAAGTCAGATTTCGCCACTATCATAAATTAAGAGAGTGGGCAGAGCGGTCAAAAGATGAAAGTTTGGAGACAATAGTGGAGAAACTGAACTGGGAGGGTTTTAAGCTAAAAGTATGTAAAACGAGCAGGAATGGACATTGTATATAAACTGAGGGCCGAGTGTTGTGAGTTAGTTGCTCTGCAGACCAGCTAGGCTTTTGTTGCTCTATGTAATAAAGTCTATCTTGATTCTACAAAAACGAAGAACTTGGATTTTTAATAAGTATAGTGATAATTTTCCACGACAACATATGACTAAGTCACCACTGTTTACTACCAATCTGATACAAAGAGAGCAATGCTGTCTGATAGTGGGGGGGGATGATCTTTCGTTCCCTTTCTTCTTGTCATTTCCACAATCTCTTACAACAGACTAAATGAACCCTCTCCACAACAGACTTCCTGTCAGATTGGGAGACAGTCAAAACTGTTTTGTGCCAATGGGCTAGTGGTTCTGGGGAAAGACAACCTCACAACATGGCATTAAACAGCTCAAAGTGTTTTCTGTCTGAGCCTCTGGAGGAATGCGCGCCGCCTAGTGGGCCACTTTTGGTAAACAGAACTGGCGCTGCGGGATGAACCGATGTGAAGGCTGTGTGAGTAACAAACACCCAACAAGGAGAATATACACACATAGGCCCTGCAGAGGACAGTTGAAGGTGAAATTAAAGCTAGTGTGACTGACTGGGTTTGGACCTGGGCCGTCTTTGTGCCACGAGACTGTTAGCCCACAGAGCTAAAGCCTTGGCATTCGCTTGGGGAGCTAATACAAGTCACGCAAACATACACACATACAGTGTAAACAGAAATCAGCGTTACTCTAGACTTTACAACAATTCATGTCTGTACCATGACACATTTTCTGCAGTAAAAATATCAGTGGCCAATACCTAAATGTAAACAGTCTCTCACTCCACTCTTGTGTAAATGTCAGTTTGCCGCTTACAGCACATAACGTGGCACAGTGCAGCACAGGACTCCAGGCAAGGGCCACACTACACCACTACACCACCAGGCCACTTTGTGACCTTGAATTCAACACACCTCCTCGCCACGAGAGAGCAAGATGCCAGCTCTGTGTGTCACACACACATCACCACACCACAGTCCAGTCAAACTGTCTCCACCTATCACACTGCTCTCTTGAAGCTGCCCTGAGGGGTGATTGGTGGAAGCAGACGTGGACTGTGTGCTTGATGTACTGGTCAATTCTTCAGTTGTAGCATTTGCTAGTAAAGTTCATAAGGCCGTTCAGTTTTAGAGGCACAAACCTTTTTATAATACTATATAAAAAGGAAAAAACTCAAGCCCACTGGTGATCTACAAGATGCTCTGTGTAATTAATGGATCTTACAAACAACGTTTCCATTTTAATTAAATTGTTTGTGAAGCATTGGAGATATTAATAAAACAAATGCATGGTCAGGCTTGCATACAGCCAGGACCATGGGGCTCTGCTGTTCTCAAACTGTGTGCTCAGCTGTGACCCTTCCCAGAAAGCCACAGGCTCTCCCCAAACGCCTCCCTAATGCTGCATGGCACAGTCAGCAGCTGACAGAGACCCCTTACAATTACCTCAAAGGCACTCAAGTGTTTTTTCCATAGACAATTCTAATGTAATGTAATATACTGTACATTAACATCTCAAAGGTTGACCAGTGTGAGACCTGATGAAGCGTTGTTTCGATAAACATTTACTGAGCATATCTTTTTATATCCAGCATCCTGCTTAAAAACACTGGATGTGCTTGTATGTAATCCTTTCAAACACATAACACGTACATCCGTCTGGCATGTCACTCTGTATATCATCACCAGAGGCAGACATGTTTTGGCACCAGAGGCAGACATGTTTTGGCACCAGAGGCAGACATGTTTTGAACTGCCACTGCCCAGGGTTAACATGGAACCTGCTACCAGCCAACATCTCTGCTCCATAGTATTCAGCCTGCAAGTGAACTGTGTCTGTCCCTATGCTGAAGAGACTGAGAAATTAATGTATTTAATTTCCAAGTCATGTTCAAGCAACTGACAATACACCACCACTTCAACACACCAATATAATGTAGTTTACGAAAGTTCAATAAGAAGGCTGAATCGTCACTTTATATTAATCTAGTAAACTCCTATAATTCACAGTGCTTCCTATCTCACTCATCAGCATAGCTGGTATTTATAGGGTAGGGGTTAGAATGATACCTCATCAGCATAGCAGGTATTTACACTGAGTGAACAAAACATTAGGAACACCTGCTCTTTCCATGACATAGCCTGACCAGGTGAATCCAGGGGGAAACTGTGATTCCTTATTGATGTCACTTGTTAAATTCAATCAGTGTAGATGAAGTGGAGCAGACAGGTTAAAGAAGAATTTTTAAGCCTTGAGACAATTGTGACATGGATTGTGTATGTGTGCCATTCAGAGGTTGAATGGGCAAGACAAAATATTTAAGTGCCTTTGAACAGGGTATGGTAGTAGGTGCCAGGCGCACCAGTTTGAGTGTGTCAAAAAACACTGCTGCAGGGTGTTTCACGCTCAACTGTTTCCTGTGTGTATCAAGAATGGTCCACCACCCAAAGGACATCCAGCCAACTTGACACAACTGTGGGAAGCATTGGAGTCAACATGGGCCAGCATCCCCGTGGAACGCTTTCGACACCTTGTAGAGTCCATGCCCTGACTAATTGAGGCTGTTCTGAGGGCAAAAAGGGGTGCAACTCAATATTAGGAAGATATTTATATGGTAGTATCATATTGTTACCTCGTCAGACTAGCGTCACGTCTCTCCCCCTCCTTTACTATTAGCAAGCATGCAGAATGTCATTCACCTATTAACTTCAGCCTATGAGCAAGGCACACTAAGGCAATTCCACCACACTTGCTGATTAACCTATGGGATCACTCATGCAATAATCACTTTCCTTTCTTTCAAAATGGGCATGAATCTAGGGGAGTATTTATATGTCAACTCAAAACTTGTGTCTCCCACTTGCTGTTTTGCAGCAACAGTCTTCCAATGACCTTCCACCTCCCCACCACTACCAACTGAAGGCCTGTCATCGGATCCCTGTTCTCTCAGCATTCCTCGGAGACGAGGCCTACCCAAAACTATTCAATAAAATTCCATATTGTATTCTGTCTCTGTTGTCATTCAGTTAAGCCTGTACTTGATTGAACTGCCATTATACATGTGTACAGAGACACATGAGGAGAGGGTGAGGGAATGAGCTCCGTTACTGTTGAGTACCAAGACTATAAGACATTGTAGCTGCCATTGGGACATGGTGGAGAGCACAGAGCAATCTGTGAGCTGTGGCTGCCACATAAAACAAGACAAAGGGAAAGACATTTCAAATCAAGCCTCCTCAAACACTCTTCTCTGTTCGGCTCTCGATAGCTTTAGAACTTTGCTTGAGAAAAGGGGATTTGCAATTGTACCCTTTAATCCTGTTCCTCCCCCTCACATAGGAGGATAAGATTATGAGCTTGACGGTTGAGAAGCTCAGTTTCGTCAAGCATAAAGCATTTTTTATACCTTCATGATAGAAGAGCTTTCAAGGTTAATGTGAGATGAGGGGTAATTGATATTAGATACAATACTATTATGAATGTATTTATGCACTGGATGTTCTTTTCTACCTTGAAAAATAAACAAAAGCTGTAGTTTATCCCTGTCTAATCTGGTTTCAGGTCATCTCTTTTTGCCCTAAACCATCTTCAGGTATCAGGTATATCCTTCGTAAAGTTTGAAGGACAATTTTGTGTATGTCCTGGTACATATTTTCTTTGTTCTGGGTCAGTATTTGCCTTCACTTCATGCCTGTGTGTTTTTTTTACTCTAATTGTGCTACAGCAACAGCATGTCATTGTTTGGAGCTCTCTTTGTGTCAGCTCTTGTCAGAGTTGTACTCCAGTCCTCTTTAGGCGAGGTATTACATTATTCTACTCTGCTCCAGTCTCCCACCCAGCATGGATGTCTGTAGTAGTTGTTAACATTGGAGATAACTCTGAGGAAGGTCGATTGAAAGGAATGTAAATAAAACCCGCCTGAATCATGTCTGCCTCTCGTCACGTCAGAACTATATCATACTGGGAGCATCTACATTTACATCTAGACAGGACAGACAAGAAAGAGACACATGGAAAAGGAGACAGTTTTGAAAGAGAGAGCGAGCGAGAGAAAAATAGAGAGTTTGTGTGTAAGAGATAGAGAGTGAGCGAGCGAGAGAAAAAGAGAGAAAGAGAGAGACAGTTTGTGTGTGAGAGAGAGAGAGAATGCCTCTATTCCTTTGAAACTTTTGTGATTGTAATGTTTACTGTTCATGTTTTATTGTCTATTTCACTTTTGTTTATTATCTATTACACTTGCTTTGGCAATGTTTCCCATGCCAATAAAGCCTTTTGAATTGAACTGAATTGAATTGAGAGAGAGAGAGAGAGAGAGAGAGAGAGAGAGAGAGAGAGAGAGAGAGAGAGAGAGAGAGAGAGAGAGAGAGAGAGAGAGAGAGAGAGAGAGAGAGAGAAATAAGAGAGAGCGCATTGGAAATGTCATGCCTCTAGCTAAATGACTGGTATAATGTCTCTGGTTTGAGACCCATGGTTGGCTGTCTGCTGTGGAAATATGATATGTCTCTGTTGTTCTGTCTGGCAATAACAAAGTCGTGGTCAGATGACTGACTCTATTGATCTGTTATTGGTTTCCTGATTTGGTTGCTCCAGTCTGAGCCCTATGTTAACATAAATGTAGTCATGTCATTGTAGAGTTATCTGATTATAGACAGTCAGTGTCATATGATTGTTGTTCTGTCCAGTTTGACCCACTTACAGAGTGTGTGTGACTCCGACTATAGGTGTGTCACATTATTATGGCTTGGTCCATTGTAGGCCCGGGAGCCTGTATTATGATTCTGACCCAGTTTCAGGCTTCTGCTGTGGCTAGAATGAGATGCAGAGCCTGACTCAGAGACATGTGGGATAATAATCGCACCCTCAGGTCAGAAAATGTTACTGTAGGTTTTTACAGTGGGATCATCATTTGAGTAAGTATGAACTATTCTATGCATTGAAATGAATGGCTCCCTTTTAGTCACTAACTGTAAGTGGCTCTGGATAAGACCGTCTGCTAAATGACTCAAATGGAAATGGAAAATGTAGTCCACTTGAAAATATCACTTTCTTATTGAATCAACTGAGGCAACAACTTTGATATGTTCAGACTTCGGGTTGTGTCATTCATAGTTATGTATTTCAACAGCTGCTCCCCCAATCACCCGGGCACATTCCCCCCTCTCATCACTGCATCCTGCTGTCTTTAGAGGTAGCAGCAGGGTTTCTGCTGTGACATTCATGTTAATCACACACACACACACCGCCTATAGGGGGAGACGTGGACATTGTGCTGTGACATTCATGGACCCATCGCTCAGGGTCCTACAGACACCAGCTTTATGTAACAAAGAGAGTGCAGCCAATGCAGTATTTTAAAGAAGTGTTTGACATTTAGAAAAGAGAGCGACCCTACCACTCCATTTTACAGATATACAGTGAGTGTACAAAACATTAGGAACATGTGGTAATATACTATGGTGATCTGTATGTCAGGGACAGCACTTTTGACAGAGAATAACAGTTGACTGCACCTTTAACTCTACTCTCCTATTACTAAGGATGCCCAACCTCTATTGTCTTAAAGCCTTGTAATTTGGATCATCTACATGTGTTAAACCTGTTGGGGAAATATTTTGACCACTCTCAGACAATACTGTAGATGTGTTTGAACATTGCATAGAGAAGACATACACTGAGTGTTCAAAACATTAAGAACACCTGCTCTTTCCATGACATAGACTGACCAGGTGAATCTAGGTGAAAGCTATGATCCCTTATTGATGTCACTTGTTAAATCCACTTCAATCAGTGTAGATGAAGGGGAGGAGACAGGTTAAAGAAGGATTTTTAAGCCTTGAGACAATTGAGACATGGATTGTGTATGTGTGGCATTCAGAGGGTGAATGGGCAAGACAAAATATTTAAGTGCCTTTGAACGGGGTATGGTAGAAGGTGTCAGGCGCACCGGTTTGAGTGTGTCAAGAACTGCAACGCTGCTGGGTTTTTCACGCTCAACTGTTTCCTGTGTGTGTCAAGAATGGTCCACAACCCAAAGGACATCCAGCCAACCTGACACAGCTGTGGGAAGCATTGGCGTCAACATGGGCCAGCATCCGTGTGGAACACTTTCGACACCTTGTAGAGTCCATGCCCCGACGAATTGTGACTGTTCTGAGGGCAAAAGGAGGTGCAACTCAATATAACAAAGGTGTTCCTAATGTTTTGTACATTCAGTGTAGTCTATTTCTATAAATATTTCACCCAATCCTACATCAATCCCTTTCCCTGGATCTCCACAAGTGTCTTTCAGGTAGGGGCTAGGTTGACAGCGATTTCAAACAGAGATAGATTTCACTCTTGCACAAAACATACATTGAGAAAATAATTTTGAATGATGGTTTATAAACATAGCTAATGGCAATCAACCAATCATTATTCGCCACGGTAAAATACCTACTCTTATTTTTTCAACGACATCAGAACAGAAAATATGATAATATATCCATACACAGATAAACAGAAATTACATTTGTACGATTTTCTAAGTGCATCTTTAATCAAATCTAGCGACTCACTGTCATCTCTCTCTCTCATATAATATTATTACCATTACCTGCAATGCCATCTACCTTCTTCGGAACTACAGTAGAAATAACTAAAAATCAAATCAAAGTAAAGAAATCTCTCTGTCTCAGTAGAAGAAGAAGTTGAGCCTTTCCTCACAGTCTCTGTTCTCCCAGCCTCTTCCCTCCCGTGACAGGGCCCCACAGTGGAGGTTGCAGGCCTCTCCCTGGAACCAGGCCTCGTATTCCAGGGGGTCACCATTCAATCAAATCAAATGTTATTGGTCGCATACACATATTTAGCAGATGTTGCTGCGGGTGTAGCGAAATGCTTGTGTTCCTAGCTCCAACAGTGCAGCAATACTGTTAAACAGCCATCACTAGGACAGAGAGGCTGCTGCCTACATACAGAATTGAAAATCACTGGCCACTTTAATAAATGGAACACTAGTCACTTTAATAATGCCACTTTAATAATGTTTACATATCTTGCATTACCCATCTCATATGTATATTCTGTATTCTATACTATCTATTGCATCTAAGCCTATGCCGCTCTGATAATGACATTGCTCATCCATATATTTATATATAATTATTCCATTCCTTTATTTAGATTGTGTGTATTAGGTTTTTGTTGTGGAACTGTTAGATATTACTTGCTAGATATTGCTGCACTGTCAGAACTAGAAGTACAAGCATTTCGCTACACTCGCAATAACATCTGCTAACCATGTGTATGTGACCAATACGTTTGATTTGATTTGATTTGAATATCTAACAATACACAACAATACACACAAATCTAAATGTAAAATAATGGAATAAAAAAATACAGAAATATTAGGACGAGCAATGTCGGAGTCCATTCACCCACAGCCAGCTAGGTACCGCAGACCCGTATACAAGTGGTCCTTCTGGGCCTCCTGGCTGTCCTCACAGGCCAGATCCAGCTTAGTCTCAGAGAGCAGGCTGACCAGGTCAGTACCGTTCTCCTTTCAGTACTCCAGAGCCTCCTCCCACATCTTATTCTCCTTCACCAGACTGAACTAGGTTTTCCTCTAAGATTTTGTCTGCGCTTACATGCAGCTCTATTTAGTTTATTTTTTATCAACAACAAAAACACTCCCTAGTCCTTGCCAATGACAAGCATACCCATAACATGATGCAGCCACCACTATGCTTAAAAATATGAAAAGTGGTACTCAGTGATGTGTTGGATTTGCCCCAAACATAACGCTTTGTATTCAAGACAAAAAGTTAATTTCTTTGCCACATTTTTTGCAGTATTACTTTAGTGCCTTGTTGCAAACAGCATGCTTGTTTTGGAATCTGTTTTATTCTGTACAGGCTTCCTTATTTTCACTGTAATTTAGATTAGTATTGTGGAGTAACGACAATGTTGCTGATCCATCCTCAGTTTTCTCATATCACAGTCATTAAACTCTGTGACTGTTTAAAATCACCAATGGCCTCATGGTGAAATCCCTGAGCGGTTTCCTTCCTCTCTGGTAACTGAGTTAGGAAGGACCCCTGTATATTTGTAGTGACTGAGTGGAAGTATTCATACACCATCCAAAGTGTAATTAATAACTTCACCATGCTCAAAGGATATTCAATGTCTACTACTAGGTGCCCTTATTTGCGAGGCATTGGAAAACCTTCCTTGTCTTTGTGGTTCAATCTGTGCTTGAAATTCACTGCTTGACTGAGGGACCTTACAGATACTTGTATGTGTGGGGTACAGAGATGGGGTAGTCATTAAAAAATCATGTTTAGCTCTTAAGGATCGGACCGACCCTTTTTTTCAATTTACGCCTAAAATGACATACCCAAATCTAACTCCCTGTAGCTCAGGACCTGAGGCAAGGATATACATATTCTTGATACCATTTGAAAGGAAACACGTTGAAGTTTGTGGAAATGTGAAATGAATGTAGGAGAATATAACACATTAGATCTGGTAAAAGATAATACAAAAAAAACATGTGTTTTCTATTTATTTTTTTGATCCATCATCTTTGAAATGCAAGAGAAAGGCCACAATATAATATTGCAGTTTAGGCGCAATTTTGATTTTGGCCAATAGATGGCAGCAGTGTGTGTGCAAAGTTTCAGATTGATCCAGTGAAGCGTTGCAATACTGGACTATAAAAGTCTGCCCAAATGTACCGAATTGGTCAATTGATACATTTTCAAGTACATAACTATAGAGAACATACAAAAATTATATGGTAATACAAAATGTAAATTTACACACTCCCAAGAATGTCATACATGATGGTTAATTAGCTTATACACTAACTTTCACACATCTAGATGGCCGGGCGGGGTGGGTGTTGGCCAGAGACAGCAGGGGTTCAAACTGTAGAACCAAGTTCCTACATTTGAATATAAAAATGGATTTTATCAAACAAAACTATGCTACATTTTATCTCTGGGACACTCAGGATGACAAATCAGAGCAAGATTACTGAATGTAAGTACATTATTTACCTTCAGAGGTGAATGTATCCAACCAGTTGCCGTGATAAGTTGTTGTTGTTGTTGTGCACTCTCCTCAAACAATAGCATGGTATTTTTTCACTGTAATAGCTACTGTAAATTGGACAGTGCAGTTAGATTAACAATAATTTAAGCTTTCTGTCCATATAAGACATGTCTATGTCATGGAAAGTTTGCTGTTATTTACAACAGTCATGCTAATCACATTAGCGCACGTTAGCTCAACCGTCCCGTATATGGGACACTGATCCCACAGAGGTTAAACACTTTTATTGCACACATAATCCATGCAAATTTATGTGACTTAAGCAACATTTTACTCCTGAACTTATTTGAGCTTGCCATAACAAAGGGGTTGAATACTTATTGACTCAAGACATCTCATGTTTTAATTTTTTTATCATTTGTTAAAATTTCTAAAAACATAATTCCACTTTGACATTATGGGGTACTGTGTGTACATCAGTGACACAAAATCTCATGCACCAAAGACCACCTTACAGAAAGCTGTGATGAGGAGCAGCTTAAAGGTAGTATTCTCCATGATGGCTTAGCGAATGGTACTGAGTCTCTGTGACAGTCTTCTCTTATAGTCTACCTGAAGCATCTTACCTACAGCATAGTGAGACATTGACCAATCATAGTGCTTTCTGTACCAGTAGGGAAATACACAGGGAGGACATACATGCACAAACACCCTACAATCAAACTCACACTCAAATTATGGCTCACACACCTTAAGAAATGTACTTTGAAATGCCCCTTTAAGACAAACAAGTAATCATTATTGGGGGTATTGTCCTGCATTGGGTGCCGTCTTTCGGATGGGACATTAAATGGGTGTCCTGACTCTCTGTGGTCATTAAAAATCCCATGGCACATAACGTTAAAGTATGGGTGTTAAGCCCAGTGTGCCATCTAAAATTCCCAACCTGGCCCCTTTTCCACCATGGCAGTCTAATCATCGCCCTAATTCCCAATTGGCAAATATCACTCCTTATCTCACTAACCATTATAGCTGATGTGTGGTGAGCGTTCTGGCACAAAATGGTTGCCGTTCATCACCCTAGGGTGCGTGCGTGTGTTGGGGTGTCAGACTGGTAACATGCCACTCTGCTGAGTGTTGTGGGCTCTGTGCGCGACATTTAGAAAATAAAGAATCCCTACCTATGTATTTTAATCTACTATAAATATGTGGCACAATCCTGAATCAACCCCTTGCCCCTGGATCACAAGTGCCTGGAGGTACGGACTAGGTAGACAATAGATTTTACTCCTGCACAAAATATAATTGTTTATAAAGAGAATGGCAATCAACCAAACAGTATTTGCCATGGTACAAGGCCTATACATTTTTTTCAACAACATCAGAAGACAAAATAAGATAACATACAATATATATACCCAAGTGTGGACACCCCTTACAATTGGTGTAGAACGGCCTTACTGAAGAGCTCAGTGACGTTCAACGTGGCACTCACTACCAAGTTCCAAGTTGCCTCTGGAAGCAACTTCAGCACAAGAACTGTTCGTCGGGAGTGTCATTAAATGGGTTTCCATGGTCGAGCAGCCGCACACAAGCCTAAGATCACCATGCACAGTGTCGGTTGGAGTGCTGTAAAGCTTGCCGCCATTGGACTCTGGAGCAGTGGAAACGCGTTCTCTGGAGTGACACATCCCGCTTCACCATCTGGCAGTCTGACGGACGAATCTGGGTTTGGCAGATTCCAGGAGAATGCTACCTGCACGAATGCATAGTGCCAACTGTAAAGTTTGGTGGAGGAGGAATAATGGTCTGGGGCTGTTTTTCAAGGTTAGGGCTAAGCCCCTTAGTTCCAGTGAAGATAAATCTTAACGCTACAGCATACAATGACATTCTAGACAATTCTGTGCTTCCAACTTTGTCCGACGAGCAGGTGTCCACATACACAACATGACCAAAAGTATCTATAGACTACAGAAAACAAAAATCACTTTTATATGATTTTCTAAGTGCATCTTGAAACTCTGAAATGTCAACCTCAACAAAACGGTCATCTCAGCACTTTTTTTTTTGTAAACAGCTGAGGTATGAGGCTGGAAAATGTTTACCACTCTCAAATTCATAGACAGAGCTATGGATGCAAGGACTGACCATCCATGAGATGGTGAAAGTTTTAATCATGATATTAAAAACTAAATGATTGAGAAAACTCTACTTTAATCATGTTTTGAAGTTAGACAGTGTTTGTTTGCGATTACAATGGAGTAGAAGTACAAGCTTGTATGTAGGGTTCTGATGGGGACAGTTGAACTAAATTCATGAGGCAATTCTAAGTTATATTCTTCAAGAATCAATAATTCATTTAAAAGTCCAAAGAAGGATGTACCATTTCCAGATTGCCCCTTTAATCCGATCTAACGACTCACTGTCCTTTCTCTCATAAACCTATTCTATACTCTTCTAATCTTTGTGTTTTTTTAAATGATCAAATAAGCAAATCAAAGTAAAATATCTCAAATCTCTCAGGCGCAGTAGCAGATGAAGTTAAAATCAAATCAATTTTTATTTGTCACATGCGCCGACAACAGGTGTAGACCTTACAGTGAAATGCTTACTTACAAGCCCTTAACCAACAATGCAGTTCAATAAATAGTTAAGAAAATATTTACTAAATAAACTAAAGTTAAAAAATAAATAAAAAGTAGCAATAAAATTACGCGGTTATATACAGGGGGTACCGGTACCGAGTCAATTTGCGGGGGTACAGCTTAGTCGAGGAAATTTGTACATGTAGGTAGGGGTAAAGTGACTACGCATAGATAATAAACAGCGAGTAGCAGCAGTGTAAAAACAAAGGGGGTGTCAATGTAAATAGTACAGGTGGCCATTTGATTAATTGTTCAGCAGTCTTATGGCTTGGGGGTAGAAGCTGTTATGGAGCCTTTTGGACCTAGACTTGGCGCTCCGGTACCGCTTGCCGTGCAGTAGCAGAGAGAACAGTCTATGACTTAGGTGATCTTTGACAATGTTTTGGGCCTTCCTCTGACACCGCCTAGTATATAGGTCCTGGATGGCAGGAAGCTTGGCCCTAGTGATGTATTGGGCAGTACGCATTACCCTCTGTAGCGCCTTACAGTCTGATACCGAGCAGTTGCCATACCAGGCGGTGATGCAACCGGTCAGGATGCTCTCGATGGTGCAGTTGTAGAACTTTTTGAGAATCTGGGGACCCATGCCAAATCTTTTCAGTCTCCGGAGGGGGAAAAGGTGTTGTCGTGCCCTCTTGGTGTTTGGACCATGAAAGTTTGTTGGTGATGTGGACACCAAGGAACTTGAAACTCTAGACCTGCTCCGCTACAGCCCTGTCGATGTGAATGGAGGCATGTTCGGCCCACCTTTTCCTGTAGTCCACGATCATCTCCTTTGTCTTGCTCACGTTGAGGGAGAGGTTGTTGTCCTGGCACCACACTGCCAGGTCTCTGAACTCCTCCCTACAGTCTGTCTCATCGTTGTCCGTGATCAGGCCTACCACTGTTGTGTCGTCAGTAAACTTAATGATGGTGTTGGAGTCGTGCTTGGCCGCGCATTCGTGGGTGAACAGGGAGTACAGGAGGGGACTAAGCACGCACCCCTGAGGGGCCCCCGTCTTGAGGATCAGCGTGGTAGATGTGTTGTTGCCTACCCTTACCACCTGGGGGCGGCCCGTCAGGAAGTCCAGGATCCAGTTGCAGAGGGAGGTGTTTAGTTCCAGGGTCCTTAGTTTAGTGATGAGCTTTGAGGGCACTATGGTGTTGAACGCTGTGATGTAGTCAATAAACAGGATTCTCACATACAGTGCATTCAGAAAGTATTCAGACCCCACATTTTGTTACATTACAGCCTTATTCTAAAATGTATTAAATAAATACAAATCCTCATCAATCTACACACAATACCCCATAATGACAAAGCAAAAACAGGTTGTAATATATTTGTGGAAATGTATTAAAAATTAAAAACAAAAATACATTATTTACATAAGTATTCAGACCCTTCGCTATGAGACTCGAAATTGAGCTCAGGTGCATCCTGTTTCCATTGATCATCCTTGAGATGTTTCTATAACTTGATTGGAGTCCACCTGTGGTAAATTCAATTGATTGGACATGATTTGGAAAGGCACACACCTGTCTATATAAGGTCTCACAGTTGACAGTGCATGTCAGAGCAAAAATCAAGCCATGAGGTCGAAATAATTGTCCGTAGAGCTCCGAGACAGGATTGTGTCGAGGCACAGATCTGGGGAGGGTACCAAAAAATGTCTGCAGCATTGAAGGTCCCCAAGAACACAGTGGCCGCCATCATTCTTAAATGGAAGAAGTTTGGAACCACCAAGATTCTTCCTAGAGCTGGCCGCCCGGCCAAACTGAGAAATCTGGGGAGATGTAACCAAGAACACGAGTTCCTCTGTGGAGATGGGAGAACCTTCCAGAAGGACAACCATCTCTGCAGCACACCACCAATCAGGCCTTTATGGTTGAGTGGCCGGATGGAAGCCACTGACATGAGTGTTACTGGGCGGTAGTAATTTAGGCAGGTTACCTTCGCTTTCTTGGGCACAGAGACTATGGTGATCTGCTTGAAACATGTATTACAGACTCGGTCAAGGAGAGGTTGAAAATGTCAGTGAAGACACTTGCCAGTTGGTCCACACATGCTCGGAGTACACGATCTGGTAATCAGTCTGGCCCTGCGGCCTTGTGAAGGTTGACCTGTGTAAAGGTCTTGCTCACATCGGCTATGGAGAGGGTGATCACACAGTCGCCCAGAACAGCTGGTGCTCTCATGCATGCTTCATTGTTGCTTGCCTCGAAGCGAGCATAAAAAGGCATTTAGTAGTCCGTAATAGTTTGCAAGCCCTGCCACATCCGACGAGCATCAGAGCCGGTGTAGTTGGATTCAATCTTAGTCCTGTCTTGACCCTTTGCCTGTTTGATGGTTCGTCTGTGGGCAGAGCAAGATTTCTTATATGTGTGCGGATTAGTGTCCCGCTCCTTGAAAGCGGCAGCTCTACCCTTTAGCTAGGTGCGGATGTGGTGGTAAATAGACGGCTACAAAAAATATAGATATAGATGAACTCTTAATTTTATTGTCCCGTTGGTTGGATAGTCTCGAACGGAGATCATCCATTTTATTCTCCAGTGATTGCATGTTGGCCAATAGAACGGATGGTAGAGGTGGGTTACCCACTCACTGACTAATTCTCACAAGGCACCCCAATCTCCGCCCCCTGTATTTCCGTCTTTTCTTCACGTGAATGACGAGGATTTGGGCCTGGTCTCGGAGAAGCAGTATATACTTTGCGTCGGATTCATTAAATAAAATATCTTCGTCCAGTTCGAGGTGAGTAATCGCTGTTCTGATATCCAGAATACAGTGGGGGAAAAAAGTATTTAGTCAGCCACCAATTGTGCAAGTTCTCCCACTTAAAAAGAAGAGAGAGGCCTGTAATTTTCATCATAGGTACACGTCAACTATGACAGACAAAATGAGGAAAAAAAATCCAGAAAATCACATTGTAGGATTTTTAATGAATTTATTTGCAAATTATGGTGGAAAATAAGTATTTGGTCAATAACAAAAGTTTCTCAATACTTTGTTATATACCCTTTGTTGGTAATGACACAGGTCAAACGTTTTCTTCACAAGGTTTTCACACACTGTTGCTGGTATTTTGGCCCATTCCTCCATGCAGATCTCTTCTAGAGCAGTGATGTTTTGGGGCTGTCGCTGGGCAACACGGACTTTCAACTCCCTCCAAAGATTTTCTATGGGGTTGAGATCTGGAGACTGGCTAGGCCACTACAGGACCTTGAAATGCTTCTTACGAAGCCACTCCTTCGTTGCCCGGGCGGTGTGTTTGGGATCATTGTCATGCTGAAAGACCCAGCCACGTTTCATCTTCAATGCCCTTGCAGATGGAAGGAGGTTTTCACTCAAAATCTCACGATACATGGCCCCATTCATTCTTTCCTTTACACGGATCAGTCGTCCTGGTCCCTTTGCAGAAAAACAGCCCCAAAGCATGATGTTTCCACCCCCATGCTTCACAGTAGGTATGGTGTTCTTTGGATGCAACTCAGCATTCTTTGTCCTCCAAACACGACGAGTTGAGTTTTTACCAAAAAGTTATATTTTGGTTTCATCTGACCATATGATATTCTCCCAATCCTCTTCTGGATCATCCAAATGCACTCTAGCAAACTTCAGACGGGCCTGGACATGTACTGGCTTAAGCAGGGGGACACGTCTGGCACTGCAGGATTTGAGTCCCTGGCGGCGTAGTGTGTTACTGATGGTAGGCTTTGTTACTTTGGTCCCAGCTCTCTGCAGGTCATTCACTAGGTCCCCCCGTGTGGTTCTGGGATTTTTGCTCACCGTTCTTGTGATCATTTTGACCCCACGGGGTGAGATCTTGCGTGGAGCCCCAGATCGAGGGAGATTATCAGTGGTCTTGTATGTCTTCCATTTCCTAATAATTGCTCCCACAGTTGATTTCTTCAAACCAAGCTGCTTACCTATTGCAGATTCAGTCTTCCCAGCCTGGTGCAGGTCTACAATTTTGATTCTGGTGTCCTTTGACAGCTCTTTGGTCTTGGCCATAGTGGAGTTTGGAGTGTGACTGTTTGAGGTTGTGGACAGGTGTCTTTTATACTGATAACAAGTTCAAACAGGTGCCATTAATACAGGTAACGAGTGGAGGACAGAGGAGCCTCTTAAAGAAGTTGTTACAGGTCTGTGAGAGCCAGAAATCTTGCTTGTTTGTAGGTGACCAAATACTTATTTTCCACCATAATTTGCAAATAAATTCATTAAAAATCCTACAATGTGATTTTCAGGATTTTTTTTCTCATTTTGTCTTTCATAGTTGACGTGTACCTATGATGAAAATTACAGGCCTCTCTCATCTTTTTAAGTGGGAGAACTTGCACAATTGGTGGCTGACTAAATACTTTTTTTCTCCACTGTATATTTTCGGTCATAAGAGACGGTAGCAGCAACATTATGTACAAATTAAGTTACAAACAATGCGACAAAACACATAAAATAGCACAGTTGGTTAGGAACCTGTAAAACGGCAGTCATCCCCTCCGGCGCCATTATCCAGTTGTTAAGCCTGTCTGTCTGTCAATCTCAGCAGCAGATGAAGTTGAGCCTGTCTGCCTCGCAGTCTCAGTAGCAGATGAAGTTCAGCCTTTCCTCACAGTCCCAGTTCTCCCAGCGTCCTCCCTTCCGTCACAGGGCCCCACAGAGGAGGTTCCAGGCCGAACTCTGGCACCTCTTGAACAAGGCATTGTACTCCAGGGGGGTCACCATTCACCCAGGTAAGGCAGGCCCGTCCACACGTGGTCTGGGCCACCTGGCTCTCTTCCAAGGCCAGATCCAGCTTAGCCTCAAATGCCACACTGACCAGGTCAGTACCGTTCTCCCTACAGTACTCCAGAGCCTCTTCCCACGTATGAATTTCCTTCACCAGCAGAAATGTATTTTCAGGGCCTCCCGAGAGGCACAGCGGTCTAAGGCACTGCATCGCAGTGCTTGAGGCGTCATTACAGACCCGGGTTCGATCCCAGGCTGTGTCACAGCCGGCCGTGACTGGGAGATCCATGAGGCGACGCACAATTGGCCCAGCGTCATTCGGGTTAGGGGAGGGCTTGACCAGCCGGGATATCCTTGTCCCATTGAGCTCTAGTGACTCCTTGTGGTGGGCCAGGCGCCTGCAAGCTGACTTCAGTCGTCAGCTGGACGGTGTTTCCTCCGACACATTGGTGCGGCTGGCTTCCGAGTTCAGCGAACAGTGTGTCAAGAAGCAGTGCGGCTTGGCAGGGTTGTGTTTCAGAGGACGCATGGCTCTCGACCTTGGCCTCTCCCGAGTCCATAGGGGAGTTGCAGCGATGAGACAATAGTCACCATGCCAACCATTTTGGTTATGTAAACCACAGGATTCCCTGTGGACGGTTGCTTGGTTGTAACTTGGACCAGAGTAGAAAGGATTCTGATTCACTTCCAACCTGTTAACTAATTGTCCTCTCTGTAGAGACCAATCCAAGCATGGTCTCTATAGTCTTCCCTCCTCCCTCTGGCTGGTGATAAAGGACAGGTCAGTGTGGTGAAGTTTGCAGTACTCTAAAGCTTCCGGACAGATTTTCATGAGAGAAACATAAATGTGCCTCCCAAATGCTCCAACGACCACCTTACAGAAAGCTATGATGAGGAGCAGCTTAAAAGTAGTGTTCTCCATGATGGCTTAGCGAATGGTATTGAGTCGCCGCGACTTTTATAGTGTTATTTTAAAGTCTATCTGAAACATCTAATCTACAGCATAGGGAGGTGTTGACAAATCAGGGATTTCTGTACCAGTAAGGAAATACACTTTGCATGCAAATTCACAATCAAATGAAGGTTTACACACCTTATGTACCTTAAGATGTTCCCGTTCAGACTGGGAATCTTAGGAACAAGCTGCTGCAGTAGTGAGGAAAACTCCTCATTAGGAACACAACTCATCATCATCATCATCGTTGTTATGTGGTCACCTCTGATTGTCATGGTACTGTATATTCATGTCATTGACATGCACTACATGACCAAAAGTATGTGGACACCTGCTCGTCGAACGTCTCATTCTAAAATTATGGGCATTAATATGGAGTTGGTCCACCCTTTGCTGCTATAACAGCCTCCACTCTTCTGGGACAGCTTTCCACTAGCCACAAGAGGTCGGGCACTGATGTTGGGCGATTAGGCCTGGCTCGCAATCTCCATTCCAATTCATCCCAAAGGTGTTCGATGGGGTTGAGGTCAGGGCTCTGTGCAGGTCAGTCAAGCTCTTCCACACCGATCCCGACAAACCAATTTCTGTATGGACCTCGCTTTGTGCATGGGGGCATTGTCATGTTGAAACCGGAAAGGACCTTCCCCAAACTGTTGGCACAAAGTTGAAAGTACAAAATTGTCTAGAATGCCATTGTATGCTGTAGCGTTAAGATTTCCCTTCACTGGAACTAAGGAGCCCGAACCATGAAAAACAGCCCCAGACCATTATTCCTCCTCCACCAAACTTTAGAGTTGGCACTATGCATTCGGGCAGGTAGCGTTCTCCTGGCATCTGCATAACCCAGATTTGTCCGTCGGACTGCCAGATGGTGAAGTGTGGTTCATCACTCCAGAGAACACATTTCCACTGCTCCAGAGTCCAATGGTAGTGAGCTTTACAGCACTCCAGCCGACGCTTAGCATTGCGCGTGGTGATCTTAGGCTTGTGTGTGGCTGCTCAGCCATGGAAACCCATTTCATGAAGCTGCTGACGTTGCTTCCAGAGGCAGTTTGGAACACGGTAGTGAGTGTTGCAACCGAGGACAGACGATTTTTACGCACTACGCGCTTCAGCACTCGGTCGCCCCATTCTGTGTGGCCTACCACTTCGCGGCTGAGCCGTTGTTGCTCCTAGAGATTTCCACTTCACAATAACAGCACTTACAATTGACCGGGCAGCTCTAGCAGGGCAGAAATTTGACGAACTGACTTGTTGGAAAGGTGGCATCCTATGACAGTGCCACGTTGAAAGTCACTGAGCTCTTCAGTAAGGCCATTCTACTGCCAATGTTTGTCTATGGAGATTGCATGGCTGTGTGCTTGATTTTATACACCTGTCAGCAACGGGTGTGGCTGAAATAGCCGAATACACTCATTTGAAGGGGTGTCCACATACTTGTGTATATATAGTGTACCATCTGTGCATAATTGGCTATACTCCACATGTAAGCAAGCATCTTATAGCGATGACTATCTCAGATGACCATGAAAGTCACATCAGAAAGCTCCAATACAGGTAGGTGTGTGTGTGTGTGTGTGTGTGTGTGTATTGGCATGCTTAAACTGCAGAGTAATATTGTAGATTATGCCTAATTAGATCGTTAGGTGTCAGAGCTGTGGCCTGAGTTCTGAGAGGGAGACTTCTCTGCCCTCCTCGGGGCGACTTTGGCACCTCTACTCCACAGAGCCCACAACGCTCAGCAGAGTGACAGGTGACCCGCCTGACCCCCAACACACACACACACACACACACCCCAGGACAGGAACCAGTGTCAGCCATGTGGGAGTCATCTCCTTCCAGTCCCCAACACGTACTATCATTATGACTGGACTGGAGGAAATCAGGCTGCAATAGCACCATGGACACACTGCACTTTTCTCCATTGATCGTAGATTAATTGAACCACTGTCAACATTGATCAAATACGTCATAGATGTGCTGTTTCTCCTTACATGAGGTAGAACAAGTCACAATAGTTTGATCAGAATGACATACTAGCTATGTGACACAGAGCCAGAGCATCCCTAAAAGTGAGTTAGCAAAAAAAAATAGAGAGTAAATCACATGTAAAATAACTTGTGGAGGATCCTGTTTGGGTCCATTTTATGGAAATAAATGGCCCAAAGCGATGAAGTAAAACGTGAAGGATGGATAAGGATGTTTGGATGAGTGAGCGGGGACAGGGCTAAATAAAACCTTTTATGAACTATTAAAAGGGACAGTTCACTCCAAAATCAACATTTGTTGGATGTTTTTTTTCTGACCTTAAAAGTTATGTTGTGATGAATTCACATCCCATCCCATGTCATTGGTATGGTATGTCTGCCTCAACCTCAAATTAATAGAAAAGATTAGCACGGAATAAAATCCTGAATTTGCACTGCTCATCTTTACCATTCTCTTTGGATTGAAGCATATGGATCTACATAACAGGTTGCCTGGGACATTGACTTATTTCATAAGTACACTCCAGTTGAGGTTGAAAACATCTAAAAGTGACCAGCAACTCCAATGTGTTTGGCCCTCCTGTAGCTCAGTTGGTAGAGCATGGTGCTTGCAACGCCAGGGTTGTGGGTTCGATTCCCACGGGGTGTCAGTATGAAAAATGTATGCACTCACTAACTGTAAGTCGCTCTGGATAAGAGCGTCTGCTAAATTACAAAAATGTAAATATAATGGTAAGGCACCTGTCACCGCTCTCTGAGACTCTATCCAAGCACAGTACAACAGTGACACCTGCCGGGAAAAGTATAATCTGTTGCCCTGCGTTAGTAAGTATGCACTATTGAACAAACCTCATATGTAACAACTTCACGAAAAAAAATATTTTTAATATATTTAAAAAAACAAATTATGCGACTGAAAATCCAATAAAGATACAGCAACCTTTAATATCATATATCAGTGTGTTTTTACATGGCAAATTTTACACAACAGCTCATTTCATTATATATTATGAAACCGCTTGGTTATTATTATCTGTCTATTCGGATCACAAGGAACTGCAAATTGCACGGGTGTTCTGCACGGCCATATTTATCTTCCGTACACAGACACAGACAGACCGAACGATGTGGGAGTGTTGTTATAACGCAGTTCGGCGTCTGCAAGGTATATGACGGATTCTGCTTCATAAACAACACAAGTAAGTGCAATGAGTATGCGCCCTGAAGAACAAACTATTGACATAAAATACATACGATATTATTCCCTTGTCGTGCTGTTTGGCAGTGTTAAATAAATGCATTTCTTACGCTAAATGGCCAAAAGTATCTGGACACCCTTCAAATTAGTGGATTCGGCTATTTCAGCCACACCCGCTGCTGACAGGTTTATAAAATCGAGCACACAGCTATGCTATCTCCATAGACAAACATTGGCAGTAGAATGGCCTTACTGAAGAGCTCAGTGACTTTCAACGTGGCACCGTCATAGGATGCCAACTTTCCAACAAGTCAGTTCGTCGAATTTCTGGCCCAGTCAACTGTAAGTGCTGTTATTGTGAAGTTGAAACGTCTAGGCCCCTTAGTTCCAGAAGGGAAATCGTAACGCTACAGCATACAATGACATTCTAGACGATTCTGTGCTTCCAACTTTGTGGAAACAGTTTGGGGAAGGCCCTTTCCTGTTTGAGCGTGACAATGCCCCGTGCACAAAGCGAAGTCCATACAGAAATGGTTTGTCGAGATCGGTGTGGAAGAACTTGACTGTTCTGCACAGAGCCCTGACCTCAACTCCATCAAACACCTTTGGGATGAATTGGACCGCCGACTGTGAGCCAGGCCTAATCGCCCAACATCAATACCCAACCTCACTAATGCTCGTGGCTGAATGGAAGCAAGTCCCCGCAGCAATATTCCAACATCTAGTGGAAATCCTTCCCAGAAGGGTGGAGGCTGTTACAGCAGCAAAAGGGGGACCAACTCCAGATGAATGTCCATGATTTTGGGCTGAGATGTTCGACGAGCAGGTGTCCACATACTTTTGTGTAGTTGGCAGAGGACACTACATAATTTGATACTTGGACAGGAAAATAGACATGTGACATGGGAGTTTTTCCTAGCCACCTTGCTTCTACATCTGCATTGCTTGCTGTTTGGGGTTTTAGGCTGGGTTTCTGTATAGCACTTTGTGACATCTGCTGATGTAAAAAGGGCTTTATAAATACAGTTGATTGATTGATTGAAATTTGAATGGTTACATGATGATGAAAATGTAAAGCCATTCGAGAATTTAGTGGCAGTATTACAGCAGAGATGTCAATTTGTCCAAGAATGATATGGCTATTTCATGTGGATATGGCTCTTGTTTGCATTATGGTGCCATAGTTGAACTTAACATGAAGTTATGTGTTTTCATGTGTGCTTTCCCAACTATTATTGTAATAACTATGTAATATCAATGTGTAGTATTAATAGTATGTAATAACAGCCTCAACGCCTCTTCCAGCTCTACAGGTCCAGCATGCCTCTGGGCGACATGAGGACACCCCTGCTGTCCGACTCATTTGACGCCCCAGAAGAACCCCTGCCCTGTGACCCGGGAAACCCCACAGTGGGCATCCTAGGTTCAGGCGATTACTCCCGCTCCCTGGCTGTGCGATTAATTGCCTGTGGATATAGGGTAGTGGTCGGCAGCCGTAACCCAAAGCATATAGCCACGGGCCTGTTTCCTGATGGGGTTCAGCTTCTCACACAGCGGGAGGCGATGGTTGGCACAGAGAAGGTTGTCTTTGCTGCTCTCTACCCAGAACACTACCACACCCTGGTGGGGTTGAGGGATGTGCTGGCTGGGAAGGTGCTGGTGGATGTGAGCAACGCCACCAGGCTTAACAGTGGAGAGCCGTCTAACGCTGAGAGGCTGGCGGAGCTGTTCCCAGAGAGCAGAGTGGTGAAGGGCTTCAATGTGGTCTCAGCCTGGGCCCTGCAGACTGGAGCTCACGACGGCAGCAGGCAGGTGAGAGTCTCCATGTATATACTGTACATACTACTCCACACATTGTATATGTAGTTATAGAAGTCGCACACCGACAGGCAGACACACACCCACACAGTGTGAGCCTCAATGTCCCCTAATCAGTCCGCTCCCCCTCCCAGGTCCTGATCAGCAGTGACTGTCCTGAGGCCAAGAGAACTGTGATCCAGCTGGCTCGCTGTATGAGTTTCCTGGCCGTGGACATGGGAGGCCTTGCTACCTCTAGGCACATCGAGGACGCCCCCCTGCGCCTCTTCCCATCCTGGGGCGGCCCCCTAATGGTCACCTTCCTCCTCATCCTCTTCTTCTATGGCTACAACTTCCTGCGTGGCGTTCTCATGCCCTACCTGTCCCGGGGGCAAAACAACTTCTACCAGCTGCCCCTGGAGACAGTGAACGAGACGCTGCCAGCAGTGGCCCTGGTGATTCTGGCGCTGGTCTACCTGCCGGGACTGTGGGCTGCCGCGCTGCAGCTGGTCCGGGGCACCAAGTACAGCCGATTCCCCGGCTGGCTGGACCACTGGATGGGGAGACGCAAACAGCTAGGCCTTCTGAGCTTCCTGTGTGCCGGGCTGCATGCGGTCTACAGTATGTGTCTGACCCTGCGCAGGGCTTCTCAATACAGGCTGTTAGATGCAGCGTACAGACAGGTGAGTGGTTGGAGTCTGTTGAACAGGTTGTTCATAGTCTGTTGAACAGGTTGTTCATAGTTAGTTGAACATCTATAATCCATCAGTAGGGGACTATCCAAATAAAGTGTTACCAACCGTGGTTGGTGATGTTGTTACTGCAGTGGAGCAGTAGGCCAAGGGCTGTATTTTGAACTCTCACTGAGTGTGAACATGACGCAACAGAGTGTTGCTGAGGCCTAATTAACAGACTGACTCCCTTAAGAGCTGCTTCCTGGGGGCAGGATGCTGCTCACGCACACAGCTCTCCCATGGAGCGTTGTTCACAAGTGGGAGAAGGCTGTGTGTGCTCATTAGTTGATCCACAGATGAAGTGTTCCTACCACACTTCTCACCGTTTCCCAGTGTTTTAATGCTTTTTTCTGCATCAGGGAATCATTTGGTTTTCCACTAACCGGTCTTTGTGCCCCTCCAGGTGAAGGCGGGAGTGGAGCATTCCTGGGAGGAGCCTCAGGCGTGGAGATCGGACCTTTATCTGTCCTCTGGCATTCTGGGACTTGGTGTTCTGACTCTTCTGGCCATCACATCTCTACCCTCGGTGGGTAACGCCCTCAATTGGAGAGAGTTCACCTTTGTACAGGTGAGTAGCTACAGTGAGGGAAAAAAGTATTTGATCCCCTGCTGATTTTGTACATTTGCCCACTGACAAAGAAATGATCAGTCTATCATTTTAATGGTAGGTTTATTTGAACAGTGAGAGACAGAATAACAACTACAAAATCCAGAAAAATGCATGTCAAAAATGTTATAAATATATTTGCATTTTAATGAGGGAAATAAGTATTTGACCCGCTCTAAATCAGAAAGATTTCTGGCTCCCAGGTGTCTTTTATACAGGTAACGAGCTGAGATTAGGTGCACACTCTTAAAGGGAGTGCTCCTAATCTCAGCTTGTTACCTGTATAAATGACACTTGTCCACAGAAGCAATCAATCAATCAGATTCCAAACTCTCCACCATGACCAAGACCAAAGAGCTCTCCAAGGATGTCAGGGACAAGATTGTAGACCTACACAAGGCTGGAATGGGCTACAAGACCATCGCCAAGCAGCTTGGTGAGAAGGTGACAACAGTTGGTGCGATTATTCGCAAATGGAAAAAAACACAAAATAACTGTCAATCTCCCTCTGCCTGGGGCTCCATGCAAGTTCTCACCTCGTGGAGTTGCAATGATCATGAGAACGGTGAGGAATCTGCCCAGAACTACACGGGAGGATCTTGTCAATGATCTCAAGGCAGCTGGGACCATAGTCACCAAGAAAACTATTGGTAACACAATACGCCGTGAAGGACTGAAATCCTGCAGCACCCGCAAGGTCCCCCTGCTCAATAAAGCACATATACAGGGCCATCTGAAGTTTGCCAATTAACATCTGAATGATTCAGAGGAGAACTGGGTGAAAGTGTTGTGGTCAGATGAGACCAAAATCGAGCTCTTTGGCATCAACTCAACTCGCCGTGTTTGGAGGAGGAGGAATGCTGCCTATTACCCCAAGAACACCATCCCCACCATCAAACACGGAGGTGGAAACATTATGCTTTGGGGTGTTTTCTGCTAAGGGGACAGGACAACTTCACCGCATCAAAGGGACGATGGACGGGGCCATGTACCGTCAAATCTTGGGTGAGAACCTCCTTCCCTCAGCCAGGGCATTGAAAATGGGTCGTGGATGGGTATTCCAGCATGACAATGACCCAAAACACACGGCCAAGGCAACAAAGGAGTGGCTCAAGAAGAAGCACATAAAGGTCCTGGAGTGGCCTAGCCAGTCTCCAGACCTTAATCCCATAGAACATTTGTGGAGGGAGCTGAAGGTTCGAGTTGCCAAACGTCAGCCTCGAAACCTTAATGACTTGGAGAAGATCTGCAAAGAGGAGTAGTACAAAATCCCTCCTGAGATGTGTGCAAACCTGGTGGCCAACTACAAGAAACGTCTGACCTCTGTGATTGCCAACAAGGGTTTTGCCACCAAGTACTAAGTCATGTTTTGCAGAGGGGTCAAATACTTATTTCCCTCAATAAAATGCAAATCAATGTATAACATTTTTGACATGTGTTTTTCTGGATTTTTTTGTTGTTATTCTGTCTTTCATTGTTCAAATAAACCTAACATTAAAATTATAGACTGATCATGTCTTTGTCAGTGGGCAAATGTACAAAATCAGCAGGGGATCAAATACTTTTTCCCCTCACTGTAACAGCACGTGATACTTCATACTGTCGTATGCACCCGTAGTTTATTGCAACATTTTGAGCGGTTTTCTATCATCAGTGTTTCTGTCTCTCCAGTCAGGGTTGGGGTACGCTGCCTTGACTCTCTCCATCATGCACACCCTCTTCTTCGGCTGGGACTTTGCTTTCTTCTCATTTGCTTACCCTTACTACATGCCCCCCACATACCTGCTGGCACTGATCCTGCCCTGTCTGGTCCTGGTGGGTCGGCTCATCCTGGCGCTGCCCTGCCTGGCGTTCAGACTAGCAAAGATACGTCGAGGCTGGGAGAGCCCATGCCACCACCCTCCTCAGACCCATGAGGACACAGCCAATGGCGTGCTGCCCAGGGACTTGAGTGGTGATGTGTGACGGTCCAATCAAGTGTTAGAGACTCAGTGCAAATCCATTCTCTAGCTCTGATGAAGGTTATTTGCACATTTGTCTGGCAGACACTATGGCACTTTAATGCCACACTATTTGAATCCGAATAAGAAACAAACTCAAGAAAAGTGTTACTATTTTTCTAGAAACTGAAATACTTTAAAGTTACCTCACCAGAACAAGTCCACTATACAACTACCTTCTGTTAAGATAAATCATGTATGCTCTTTGTTTAACTGGGTTAAGAAACATAAGAAATATGTATAGCTGTCACAGTATCATAGCAAGCCATTTCATATTTGACTAGACCTCTAAGCTTCTCTTGGGTGAAGGAGAAGAATGTGACCACTTTCTGGTCAATTTCAGCATATTAAAAATCTCCAAACCCACTATTCGACAAGATTTACCAACCAGAAGTGCCTGGATTGAGCCTCGACTGAGAAGCTGCACTTCACCCTGAAATAGGAACATTTTATCTAGACAGAAGTCTGTATAAGGGCATTGGATTAGTGTTAGAGACCTAGACAATACAGTCAGTCTTTGCTGTTCAGCTGTGTGTTGCTGCTCTGTCGCTTCCAGACAGAGTCTGTGTGGAGCTCCAGTCCTAACAGCATCATTATGTAAGGAGACTGGACACATCATCACAGTCACAATACACGTAACTACTGTCAACCTGGGAAATTAACAATTAACTGAAGGAAAGTGTTTTCAGCGCACACATAACGTGCGATATACACTCACCCCGTTTGTGAAAATGGATCGCTCCTACAGACAGTGAGTCACGTGGCTGCGGCTTGCTATATAAAGCAGTCAGACAGGCATTGAGGCAGTCAGTTACTGTTTGAATGAAAGTTAGAATGGGCAAAACGAGTGCCCTAAGCGACTGAGCGTGGTATGATCGTGTGGGCCAGGTGCGCCGGATCCAATATCTCAAAACGTCCACACTCCTGGGCTTTTCACATACGACAGTGTCTAGGGTTTACCGAGTATGATGCGACAGACAAAAAATATCCAGTCAGCGGCAGTCCTGTGGGTGAAAACTGCACATTGAGAGGTTGAAGGAAAATGTCAACAATCGTGCACACTAACAGGCGGGCCACAAACAGACAAATAACGGCACAGAACGGCATCTCGGAACGCACTACTCGTTGATCCTTGTCACAGGTGGGCTATTGCAGCAGACAACCACACCGGGTTCCACGCCAATCAGCTAAAAACAAGAAGAGTCTCCAGTGGGCACGCAATCACCAACACTGGACAATTGAGGAGTGGAAAAACATCACCTGGTCTGACGAATCCCGGTTCCTGTTGAGTCATGTTTGTGATACATTTGTGTGTGTGTGTAATGCAGTACCTTATTTACTTGTAAAAACTAGAATAAGCAAAGCTAGTGGTTTCTCTATTGAATATTAAACGCTTATGTGCCATATTTGGACCCATCTCGGCAAGGGGGGAAATACTGCACTGTACTTATGCAATAAAGATGTTTTTAGATGTATTTTTTCAAACTGGTGATTTAATTTGGAATCATGTTTACAATAATAAAACATAGGTCTTACAGGAAACAAATAAGTACAAAGAAAATCAATGCATAATCATATTCAACACTACCAGATAAAGGAAAAGTGCATTTCAGTGGAGGTATAAAATCGAGGCAGATACCATTTTATTTTTATATGAATGGCATGTTAAATGAAAACACTCCCACTTTCATCTGAAGGCACAGATCACCCCCCATAACCTTCCATCCATGTGTATCCTCCATGTCAGATCAGAATCCCCTCTCCCGTGGTGAAGTGGAGGATGAAGGCCAGTAAACACCCTTACCACCAGGCTGGTTGGGGGTTAGCTTTAAAGAGCTCATAATCCTCTTTCCTGAAGAAGGCCAATTCTGTTTCATTTGCTGAAACAAAAAAACAGGAATAAAACAGGGCCCTTCACTTTGACAATATTTCATTACCAGGATGTTGACTGAATGTACAGTTCAAAATGTAGTACACACTTTAGTCTTATAAGCTATGTGATGTTTTGGTCAGCAAGTGTACCAGTGTTTCCCCTAAATTTCACTGTGACAATAAAAACACACGCGACCAAAAGTATGTGGACATGTGCTCGTCAAACATATTCCAAAATCACGGGCATTAATATGGAGTTGGTCCCCCCTTTGCTGCTATAACAGCCTCCACTCTTCTGGGAAGGCTTTCCACTAGATGTTGCAACATTGCTGCGGGGACTTGCTTCCATTCAGCCACAAGAGCATTAGTGAGGTTGGGGGTGGTGGAAAGTACTTAAGTAAAAATACTTTAAAAGTACTACTTTAGTCATTTTTTGGGGTAACTTTTACTTTACTACATTCCAAAAGAAAATAATGTACTTTCTACTCCATACGTTTTCTTTGAAACCCAAAAGTACTTGTTACATGTTGAGTGCTTAGCAGGACAGGAGAATGGTCAAATTCACACACTTATCAAGAGAACACGTGGTCATCCCTACTGCCTCTGATCTGGCAGACTCACTAAACACAAATGCATCATTTGTAAATTATGTCAGAGTGTTGGAGTGTACCCCTGGTTATCCATACATTTTTAAAACAAGAAAATGGTGCCGTCTGGTTTGCTTAATATAAGGAATTTGAAATTATTTATACTTTTACTTTTGATACTTAAGTATATTTAGAACCAAATACTTTGACTTTTACTCAAGTGTATTGTAATGGGTGACTCACGTTTACTTGAATAACTTTCTATTAAAAAAGGTATCTATACTTTTACTCAAGTATGACAATTGGGTACTTTGTCCACCACTGGAGGTCGGGCGATTAGACCTGGCTAGCAGTCGGCGTTCCAATTCATCCCAAAGGTGTTTAAATGGGGTTGAGGTCAGGGCTCTGTGCAGGCCAGTCAAGTTCTTCCAGACCGATACCGACAAACCATTTCTGTATGGACCTCGCTTTGTGCACGGGGCATTGTCATGCTGAAACAGGAAAGGGCGTTCCCCAAACTGTTGCCACAAAGTTGGAAGCACAGAATCGTCTAGAATGTCATTGTACGCTGTAGCGTTACGATTTCCCTTCACTGGAACTAAGGGGCCTAGCCCGAACCATGAAAAACAGCCACAGACCATTATTCCTCCTCCACCAAACTTTACAGTTGGCACTATGCATTAGGGCAGGTAGCGTTCTCCTGACATCCGCCAAACCCAGATTCGTCCGTCAGACTGCCAGATGGTGAAGCGTGATTCATCACTCCAGAGAACGCGTTTCCACTGCTCCAGAGTCCAATGGCAGTTGTTGCTTCTAGACATTTCCACTTCACAGCATTTACAGTTGACCGGGGGAGCTCCAGCTGGGCAGAAATTTGACAAACTGACTTGTTGGAAAGTTGGCATCCTATGACAGCGCCACGTTGAAAGTCACTGAGCTCTTCAGTAAGGCCATTCTACTGCCAATGTTTATCTATGAAGATTGCATGGCTGTGTGCTCCATTTGCCAAATCCACTAATTTGAAGGAGTGTCCACACATACATACACACACAGTGCCCTCGAGAACGTATTCACACTCCTTGACATTTTCCACATTGTGTTCCAGCCTGAATTTAAAATGGATTTAGATTTTTTTTTGTCACTAGCCTACACACCATAATGTCAAAGTGGAATAATGTTTTTAGAAATATTTACAAATTAATTAAAAATGAAAAGCTGAAATGTCTTGACTCAATAAGTATTCAACCCCTTTGTTATGGCAAGCCTAAATATGTTCAGGAGTAAAAATGTGCTTAACAAGCTACATAATTAGTTGTATGGACTCACTGTGTGCAATAATATTGTTTAAAAAATAAAATATGACTACCTCATCTCTGTACCCCACACATACAATTATCTGTAAGGTCCCTCAGTCGAGCAATGGTGACTTTAAAACAGTTACAGAGTTTAATGGCTGTAATAGGAGAAAACTGAGGATGGATCAACAACATTGTAGTTCATTCACAATACAGTATACTAACCTAATTGACAGTGAAAATAAGTAAGCCTGTTCAGAATAAAAAAAATATTCCAAAACATGCATCCTGTTTGCAACAAGGCACTAAAGAAATACTGCAAAAAATGTGTCAAAGCAATTAACTTTTTGTCCTGAATACAAAGTGTTATGTTTGGGGCAAATCCAATAGAACACATTACTGAGTACCACCTTTCATATTTTTAAGCATAGTGGTGGCTTTATCATGCAGCTGTCGTTAAGGACTGGAGTTTCTGGATAAAAATTTCAATGGAGCTAAGCACAGGCAAAGTCCTAGAGGAAAATCTGGTTCAGTCTGCTTTCCACCAGACACTGGGAGACAAATTCACCTTTCAGCAGGACAATAACCTAAAACACAAGGCCAAATCTACACTGGAGTTGCTTACCAAGAAGACAGTGAATGTTCCTGAGTGCGAGTTACAGTTTACTTAAATCTGCATGAAAATCTATGGCAAGACCTGAAAATCATTGTCTGGCGATGATCAACAACCAATTTGACAGAGCTTGAAGAATTTATAAAATAATAAAATGGGCAAATGTTGCACAATCCAGGTGTGGAAAGCTCTTAGAGACTTAACCAGATAGACTCACAGCTGTAATCGCTGCCAAAGGTGATTCTAACATGTATTGACTCAGGGGTTTGAATACTTATCTAATCAAGAGATATATATATATATATATATATATATATTAGGGTTTTATTTTTCCATGAATCCTTTACAAATGTTCAATTATTTTCTTCCACTTTGACATTATAGTATTTTGTGTAGATCGTTGACAAAAAAGGAAAATTAAATAAATTTTAATCCCACTTTGTAACAACAAAATCTGGAAAAAGTCAAGGGGTGTGAATATTTTCTGAAGGCACTGTGTGTGTGTGTGTGTATGTATGTATATATATAAATAATGTAGATCTTTAGATGTATGACCCAGGAAGACCCCATCCGCCACCACCCCCCCCTAACTCTTCCTAGGGGAAACAGTGTACAGTATGTGTGCAAAAACAAGATGACTATACCAATGCCTGCTGCTCTTAGGGTTAGTCCATCTTGCAGAATAAGCTTGTCATCGTCCTCCAAACTCATCACCAACTCATTTGTCTGCAAACAGGACATTTATCATTTTGATTGGCTTTATAAAACACAATTATTTAGAACAAACAATGGGAGAGATTTAACAGGCTTATTGATATAACTATCTGAGTGTATATGTAAGGTGTCAAGAAGAAGGATACCTTTGCTCCATGTGCCTGGTGGATGATCTTCATTGTATCTTCAAATGATACATTATGTAGAAGTTAAGACATCAAATCAATGTAATGCATGTATCAAGAATGCATGTCAATGGGTCCAACAATGTTTAGTGAAGGATAACATTGAAGTGTTGCTGGCATCATTCTCAGAACATAATTGACTCCTAAACCCTACCATTAATATCAAATGTCTCGGGCACAGGTGTCAAACTTATTCCACTGCTGGCCAAGTGTCTGCAGGTTTTCACTCCTCCCTTGTCCTTGATTGATGAATTAAGGTCACTGATTAGTAAGGAACTCCCCACACCTGGTCTTCTCTGGCTCAATTGAAAGGAAAAACCTGTAGACACCAGACCCTCCATGGATCGAGTTTGACACCCCTGGTCTAGGGGCAATGCCAATGGTAGGGGTTAGGGTAGCCGATTAAACTCAAATCCACGACTGGACTGGAGCCCCGACGTCACATAAAACTACTGATTTCAGCACCCAAAGAATAGCCAGCAATTACAGATGACATTGTTCTTTGTAATTGCGGGCTATTCTTTTGATGCTGAAATCAGTCGTTTTTTATTACAAACGTAATTGTATGTGACGTCGGAGCTCCAGTCTGCCGACACTAGTCGCAACTCAACTCCATCGTAGTCGTATTGGTGTCTATTTGGAAGTGGGCAGCAGAAGCCACTACTAAAATGCAGCCATAACTTACCATAGCCAAACTTCTTAAAGGGGGGTGGTAGACCGGACCTCGTGCTAACATCTAGAAGGGACAACACAACATGTATGGAACCACAAAGGAAGATGGAATGTCGTAGAATAATATTTTTCATGGCATGATGTAGGGCGTTCACTCACGGCTGTACAATATTGAGAAAAACTGGGCAATTCAAGAGGGTGTTAAGAAATGAGGGTAAAAACGTCATTTTCTTTGCCCTATGTCATTATAAATGACAGATTGTTTTCTACAATATTATACTTTTACTTGATAGTGTTGATGAAATAAGAACGTTAATTTGCTGTAACCGTTGCTAGTTTAGACAGCACCGCTCTTGGATGCATCTCTCATATTTGGTGTTGTGAGGTGGTACCATTTGGAGGTGTTTCCGCTGGTTGGACCAATCAAAATCAACGTGATACCTTAGTCATTTTCACCTCCAGATCCTTGGCTTTCATTGCCTATAACCGCAATCAATCTACGTTGAGAGGGGCAGTTTATATAGCGTTTTACAGGGAAAGGTTAAGAAATACACAAAAACAGGAACAGATCGTCTTCGTAGAGGGTGGATATTGAAACTCAGTCTGTTAGTTTAGTAAATGAATATATACTTTGTCCCTATTTAGTATTGTATTCAGCGGATTTAATTGAAAAAGCCCATGTTTTCAGCCACTAGTTAGCTTGTCAGTTGACGGTCTAAATTAGCGTCGTTCTGCCGCGCCACAGAATTATATTGAACAGTTTCCACTTTTTGATCATGCCTGTAATGACATTCCATTCACTCTAAACATGCTAAATTCTCAGAGTAAATAGTCGGTAACTTTTGAACCATATATGGTAGACATGGGGTTTGGCCTTTTGTTTTTCTGACTGAATGTTCTATTGAATGGACATATAAACCTTGAATTAATTAATCATTTTATGGGTGAACACCCTACATAATGTTTAGCTAGTTACCAAAAAAAAAAATCCTACTTACCATTTTTCACAAACTGGATAAATTCCTCGACCGTTTGATCTAAATTCACGCAACTAAATACAACTGGCTTGAAGTTTCGGTGCTCAAACGACCTTACCAACCGTACAGTGAGGACTGCCTCGCTGGACATACTGTAGCTGGCTAGCTAACGTTAGGTGACTGTTTACTTCTAGCTAGCAAAGCAAATTTCTCCTTACAGTGAAATGTCGACACTGTAGCCTTTTAAGTTTATACTGACGCACATACTAATTTAGAAACCCGAGCTGAACCTTTATAGCTAGATACTGGTTAGGATTAGTATGTTCCTAAATGAAGTTTCCCCGCAAATAAACACACGCGCTTCCGGGTTTGACGGCCCTTCGCAAGACAAGAGCAAACGAATGTGTGCTCAACTGCTCAGACTCGATGTGTTGATATGTCTATAATTTCAAATATATATATATATATTTTCACATAAACTTTAATTAAAACTACGGTTTTGTAAACTATTTAAATATGTTATTGTTGAACGTTTGTACATATTTCACTTGTCAGTAAATAGTTTTTGTCTATGTTTTGTGTCATACTATTCAAGTAGTTAAAAGATCTGAATATACTTAGTTTACTTTAGGTCCACTCTATTATAGGGACCCGAAGGCCTACTTCAAGCGTCTGTAAATTGGATGCAAATCTTTTCCGTTAATGCAGTTAATTGTATTTTACTTCCTGTGAAAACGTTATATAAAAAGTACATCTTCATCTGGAATTTATTAAGAGCAACCACATGGTGTGTATGATATCATCCTAAACCTAGCAGCTGCAGCTGCTAGGTTACCTTCCTGGCCAACCTGACAACAACAATTAATCCCTGGTCTATCTAACATTCCCTCATGACTGTTATGAGACTCAATAGACAAGGAATGTTCAAAGGCTATGGCAGCACCTGCTTGCCACATAATACAAGTCTGTCAAAGGCACATTATATGGCATATGATATAAGGCTGCCTGAGTGAGTAAAAAGAGGGGGAGTAGAACCAAAGAATATCTGATAGAATGGCTATGGTAGTGGGTAGTACAGGGACAAAGGGCATACCCGTTTGTAATATAGGCCAATGTGGCAGACACCATAGTAGAGATACATATTTAATTATGTGGCAGACACACACATTCCCATGACCCCGTGCCCTACTTTAGTGGGAACACTCGTCCCCATGTATTAAGAGCTTTGATTGGTTACCTTTACTCACCCCTACCAATGGAGATGTTGCGTGAAGTGTCAGTCATTGAATCTACCAATGGAATTGAGGGGGTGGTATCACCTCAAGCAGTAATGAAAAGCAGGCATGAACAGTCTACCACAGAACTCCCGCCTCCAGTAGTTGATCTAGAAGTGTTGGAGAGACTACAGAAAGATAGGGAGGGTGTTGATCCATCTGATGTCTTTAAGAGACGTCTGAAAACTATGTATCAGGATTTTGTGGCCATTTACACAGATGGTTCAAAAGATCCAAGGACAGGATGTACTGGGTCAGCATTTGTAGTGCAGGAATGTGGGATGGAAGTCAGGAAACGTATTACAGATCATCTGGCTGTATATACAGCGGAACTGATGGCCATAGTGTTGGCCTTGCAGTGGGTGGAGGAAGTCAAACAAGACAGAGTAGTTATTTGCTCTGATTCATGTGCAGTGTTAAAGAGTCTCCAGTCCTTTAGCTCACGTAGCAGACAAGACCTGCTTTATGGGGTGCTAGAAACCCATGGCAGGATTAAACAGATGGGTATTCAGATAAGATTTACTTGGGTCCCAGCCCATGTGGGGGTGGAGGGGAACGAGGCAGTAGATGAACAGGACAAACAAGCACTTAGTAGTGGGGATGTTGATGTTGAAGTTTCAATGAGCAAGGCAGATGCAAAAAGACTGATATATATACAGTGATGGTGCAGAGATGGCAGGAGCAGTGGAATAGAGATAATAAGGGAAGGCATTTATTTCAAGTACAGAGGAAAGTCGGGGAGGGGAGGACGGCAGGAAGGGACAGAAGAGAGGAGGCTATTTTTACAAGATTAAGGGTGGGACACAGCCAGTTGAATAAGACATTAAATGTGATAGGAAAGCATCCAAAAGGAAATTGTGATTATTAGATATAGTCTCAAATATTTTGTTATCTTTTTTAAGAGCAACAGGGCTGGCAGGTAGGATTTAGTTTCTCCCTGTCGCTGGCCCACACTCCAGTACAGTAGGTGGCGGTAATGCACCATAACGTTGGATGCCAACCGCTGATAAACCCCACTGAAGAAGAAGTCTACCACAGAGTTTCTAAACCCAGAGGACCAACATCGCGATACTTCCGGGAATGCTTCGCGAAGCAAACTCGACAGACCAGACCGGGGTTTGGTATCTGGAAGGTCAATGAGAGAAGTGAAAAATTCGTCCTTAGTTGTTAATTTTCTCGATTTCTAAAGGCACAACCTAGATTCGAGCCAATGTCTTAAGTAGCTGAACATGTTATTACTCCAACCTCGTGAAAATGACAAACGGACACTTTTTCTCTTTATATACAAACAACAAAGTAAAAATGAAACACAAACGCAACAACCACCATAATTGATACACACCTGTCCACGAACACACAAAAATAGACAGTAGCTTCCCCTTTCAATACACAAACATACTGTACATCAAATCCCCCTCACATAGAAATGTCATACTCCTCAAGATGGTCAAGATAAGGCTTCCAGACTTTATCAAACACATCCAATCTCTGCTAAACACATCCATTCTCTGCCCAACTTTATCAAACTCTGAATCTAGTGGAATGTAACTACATCACAGGTGGCTGCTTAGGGGAGGACAGCTCATAATAATGTCTGGAACGGAGTGTATAGAATGGCATCAAACACATGGAAACCATGTGTTGGAAGTATTTGATACCATTCCACCTATTCCACTCCAGCCATTACCACGAGCCTGTCCTCCCCAATTGAGGTGCCATCAACCTCCTGTGAACTACATAGTTCAGCCCTCCAGTTAGTTATTGAGGGTGAGTATGATGCTTTCCAATTGATAGCTATACATTTTGTTGCAGAAATTAGACAGAGGTTACAAAACTTTCTTTGATATTGGTCACCAATATCTACATTTCCCAACAGACATAATCATGGAGATGGATGGATATAAATTCCTAAACACAATGATGTGATAGCACAGACATTATCCCAAAATGGTGTCAGTTTGTCACAGGACCACAGCATATGTAATAGGGTTCCTTTTTGTTTTTTGCATCTCCAACAGAGATATAACATTTCTGGGTGCATTACATGCATTCTGTCAGGAATTTAGTAAATCCTATGGATTATCTTGAATTGCAATCATTTATGTCTAAATGTAACAGTGTTGCTTCCGTCCCTCTCCTCGCCCAACCTGGGCTTGAACCAGGGACCCTCTGAACACATTAACTGCCTCCCACGAAGCATCGTTACCTATCGCTCCACAAAACCCCGGCTCTTGCAGAGCAAGGGAAACGGAGGTTACGAATGTAACTACGGTTCTACGAATACCTGGAGGACCGTCCGTAGGGTTGTAAGTATGGATTATATCCCTCGCGCTCCGCTTAGGTCAAGTCATAATAAAAACAAAGTTACGCGGTAACATTACAGTGTGGGAGGACGTGTCCCCGCGGTTCATATAAAAGCTTATGTCAGACCACGCCCAAAGATTCCTAGTGACAGGAAAGTACTGATGGTCTTCCAGGTATTCGTAGAACCATAGTTACATTCATAACTTCCGTTCTACTTCATACCTTTCAGTACGGTTGAAAGTATGGATGACTCATACCAACAAGGTCGCAAGGAATAGCACTACCAACCTCTGATTAATGCCGGTGCCACTGGAAGAATGGCAGATCCCATGGTGTGGCAGGATGCGACGTTGACCTTGTAAAATCTTGAGAACGTGCAGGGTGACGACCAGGTAGCAGCTGCACATCACAGGAGGACGGCTCATAATAATAGCTGGAATGGAGTGAATGGAATGGTATCAAACACATGGAAAATATGTAGTTCCAGCCATTACTATGAGCCCGTCCACCCCAATTAAGGTGTCACCGGACGCCTGTGCTGCACATACAGTATCTCATTCAGGGGGACGCCTCTCAGCTCATCCCAGAATGTGGCGACACTTCTGGTAGGGTGACATATCACACCCTCTGGGACACGGAGCCCTACACCCTTGTAGGCCTGAGCGATGACATCCACAACCCAGTGTAAAAGCCTCTGCGTGGACAATGCAAGACCTTTTGACTTCCCACCAAAACACAGAAACAGCTGGTCTGACTTCCTGTAGTGCTCCGAGGCTTGCATATAGCATTTGAGGGAACGGACTGGACACAGGAGATTTGCTTGCTCCTCCTCCGCATTCTGGAAAAGAGGGGGCAGTAGGCTGCCAGCTCAATGGCTTGGTTGTTGTGAAAAGGTGATAAAACCTTAGGGGAAAGGCTGGATATGGCAATAAGGTCACGCCAAGGTTGCCTGCCTTCCATCATAGTCAGACAGGACTCACTCACACGTTTCGCTGATGAAATAGCTAAGAGGAAATACGTTTTTAGAGACAACCATTTTATGTTCTGCTCTTCCGTATGCTCAAAGGGAGGTATGGTCAAAGCCTCGAATAGTAGTGGCAGATCCCAGGATGCCACACGGATGGCCCTGGGGGGATGCAGCCGGCGGACACCTTGTAAGAATTGGCAGATGAGGTAGTGGGCCCCTGCAGATTTTCCATCGATGTGTAAATGGTTAGCCGATATGGCTGAGGCATACACCTTCAAGGTAGAGGAAGAGCAACCTGAGTTCAATTGTTTCTGAAGGAAGCTCAGTATAACAGGTACAGAGCAAGACACTGGTTCGTCTGCCCTGGTAGAGCACCGTTCAGTAAACTGCTTCCAACGACAAGCATACATCATCCTGGTTGATGAGGCTCTGGCGTTCTGTAACGTCTCGATAATAGCAGGATCGCAGCCGATCAGCAGAGGGTCGGGCTCTTCAGAGGCCACACCCATAGCTGTAGTTGGTCTGGGCTGGGATGCCATATTCTGCCATCCAACTGTGAGAGCAGGTCCTGTTTGTGTTGGAGCTGCCATGGTTCTCCCTCCAGAAGACGGAGGAGGGTTGGAAACCAGGTTCTTGCTGGCCATCTGGGGACTACAAGCAGCAGCCTGTGCTGAGCCTGAGAGACCTTGTGTAGCGTTGCTAAGTTCGGGGGGTGGGGGGGCATACAGAAGGCCCTCTGGCCGTGTGTGCTAAGGCGTCCATGCCCAGGGGGCTCTTGGACTCTGCCAGAGAGAACCAGAGGGAGCAGTGGGATGTTTTCTCTGAGGAGAACAGGTCCACATGTGCTGTTCCAAACCGCTGCCATATCATCTTCAATACTTGCGGGTGAAGTCTCCATTCCCTCGGGGGCGGTTTCTGTCATGACAAGAAGTCTGCCACCTCCTTCACCTGGCCTGGGAGATTAATGGCTCATAGGGAGGCCAGATGTGGTAGGGCCCATGTCAGGAGTTGTTGGGCCACCTGTAGTGACCGTACAGACCTCGTTCCCCCTTGATAGGTTGATGTAGAACACTGTCGATGTATTGTCTGATTGAATCAGGACATGTTTGTGTTTGAGAACCGGCAGAAACTGTTTCAGGGCTAGGTAAACTGTCTGAAGTTCTAGCACGTTGATGTGCTCTTTCCTCCAGCGGGAGCACCACTCTCCCTGTACAGACCTGTGTTGCCACACTGCTCCCCAGCCTGATAGTGAAGAGTTGGTCATCACTACTTCCCTCATTGCCGGAATTGATCCGAGAGGGACACCTGTAGTCAGGTAGGTTCTCTTCCTCCATGGCCGCAGAGTAGAGTAGCACACCCTTGTCACCCAGATATTGGTGTTTCTGTCCCGCTTGGGGTCCAAGCGGAGGTCGTTGAACCACACTTGGTGGTCTTAAAGACAGCAGGCCTAACAGTGTCACCACGGAGGCCACCGCGATCATGCCCATCAGTTGCTAGAACGTTCGTACCTTCACCAACGCGTCCAACTGGAATTGTTGCAGAAGAAGAAGAACACTGTCCACGCGCTGAGGTGTTATATAAAATAAAATCAAATGTGTGGTGTAGACCTTACAGTGAAATGCTTAACCAACAATGCAGTTTTAAGAAATACATGCCCTCATAGTGCAGGAGTTCAGAGCCATGCCAATAAAGGTTACTTTTGTCTTGGTGTGAAGTTACTATTTTCATTGTTCACGGTAAGACCCAGTGCGGTGACGTGGGTCAGTGTCAGCGCTGTGCTCTCGGCCGCACACTCGCGAGAGGGGGCGCAGATGAGCCAGTCGTCGAGGTAAGGAAGGAGCTCAGGGCTGCGCTCACGCATCTTCTGAAGACATGACGAGCAAGGGCCAGGCCGAATGGTAATACCGTGAACTGGTATGCCTGGCCTTTGAAGGCAAACTGCAGAAAACCACTGACCACCGCCCCGGCCTTTTGGGGGCTAGGGGGATGGCTGCATTGCCGCCTGGGGCTGGCGAGCACCTGAGTTAGGCTGGTGGTAGGGCCAAGGGCTTGTGTAGGGCTGGGCCGATTGAGAGCGGCGAGGTTCACCCGCGTCAGGTCTCGCTTTGCCACGACTTTGTGATGCCTGGTTTTTGGGCTGTGGGATCCACAGCAGCGTAGCCTGACTCAGCTGTTTTCTACGTTCGATGGCCCGCTCAGTCGCGGGGCCAAAGAGCAGTCCAGGGACCACTGGGAGCTTTCTCAGCGTCCGTCTGGAGTCACCGGACATTGGGGCTTGGGCAAGCCAGACCTGATGACAAGTCACAACTAGGGTGGACATCAGTCTGCCTAGCTCTCTAGTCATGAATGCAAACGCTTGAAGAGATGCGTCTTTCAGGTTGCAGAGGTCGAGGTCTGTGTGCACCGGCTGGAACATATTTTTTCTGAGCTAGCATGAGCACTGAGATAGTGTTCCCAATGCGGGCCGGTATGTCGTAGGCCCGTGACAGCAGCTCATCTATGGCCCTACACTGAGGTATGGAGCAGCAGGCATCATCTTTCAGGGCTTCATATGGGGAGAGCTTCAGCTCTGCTATGCATTCATCCACCCATGGTGTTTTGGGTCGCGCATGGCAGATAGCGTCCTACTAGCTTTTCCATGGTGGGCGAGAGCCCGCGGGTCGGCCCAGCATCTCTAAACTCCATAAGAAAAGCCGGTAAAGGTGGCACACTGAACTGCCGGGGCCTTCTTAAAGAATGGGTTAGCAGCAGGGGCTATGGCTTGAGGGTCATCAAGCTCTAGCCTAGCTAAGGCCGCACACAGGACAGCACATCTGACTAAGTGTGATCAGAACCTCGGAATGACTCCTCTGACCCATCTTTAGCGTTGAAACTGAATGGGTCCACAACACTGGTTGGCACCTCCTTCACCATGTTGGACGTGTCATCATCACGGCTCACAGGAAAGATATCATGTTTAAACGTAGGCTTATTTATGCGAAACACACACGTATGGCCGTTGATTAGTAGGCCAAGCTGACGACACACAGTAGTAATACCTGGGAAAAGGGATGCCTAGGGGAAGCAGTACGAATAGCAGGCTAGGCTAACAGCCTTCCTAGATGCAGTTATCTTGACATGGTTTGCACTGAAGTACAGTGGCCAACACACACACACACAAGTTGGTGGGCTAAGTCAGCACAAGACAAGGAAGCCTGATTTCCTCCAATAAAAGGGATAGGTAGGGGAGAGTTGTCACACAGCCTTGGAGGGTGAATTTCACACTCTGACCCACAGGTCACAGGCTGTTGGTGACAGACTGACAGTACACACAACTCACACAGAGTTTAGCTACCGGGACCTGGGAAGATGCAATGCGAAAAACGGGAGCAATATGGCTAAGCTAACTTTGCGAGAAGAAATAAGACACAGTGCGTGGTCTGACGTATGGTTTTATATGAACCACAGGGGCACGTCCTCCCACGCTCTCATGTCACTGGCGTGACTTAGTTGTTATTATTACTCGACCTGCGCGGAGCACAAGGGATATAATACTTACTTTCAACCGTACTGACGGTCAGAAAGGTATGAGGTAGAACAACTACTTAAAGGTCTCAGAGCAAGTGACGTCACTGATTGAAACACTACTAGCATCATTTCACATCGGTTACATAAGGTTGTAGGAGAAGATATGAACATTTTCACATATCTGTGACCAATAGCTCTCATCAATTTCTTCCTTGAGATCTGTTTCCCATTTTTCCCTCATAGCTTCTGAGCTATCAGGTAGAGATTCAATCAACCCTTGATAGAACTTGGCAATCAACTTCTTTGGCGTTGCATTTTCTTTCAGTATTTTTTCAATGTTACATGCTTTAGGTTCATCCAGATTCTCTTGAAGCGATTTAATACGATTTCTTAGTTGTAAGAACTTAAAGAAATTGGTCTTGGATAAACCACATTTTTCTTGTAACTGATTGAATGACAGAGCCATTATAGTACATATGCTCAACATTCATGATGCCACTTTGGAACATGGGCCCGGTTGCATAAAACATATTATGTTAATTTCCCTCTTATCTTTTGCCTTAAAATTTCCATAACTTTGAGTGAGTTGCACAACATTTTTTAAGGCGAATTCCCCCCTTAAATATGGAAGGTGCACAATCCATGGCTACAAAGCAAGCTAGCTGATTAGCTAGCTACCTACTCTGTAAGATAGCTTGACGTGCTAGAAAGTAATAGAAACAAGTTGAGAGAATTGAGAGAACTAAAATAAAATGTGTTTTATTATCTGGGTTTAGAAACTCTGTGGTGTAACGCCTCACCCAGCAGACTGTCGACCAATCGCGTTCATGTGGTCATGCTGCAGCACGCGGTTGCTAAAATAATCGTCACACAATCCCTTCTTTCAAAGGGTGCGTTCGTAAATTCACTCTGGCTATCTACTCCGATTTCAGAGCGCTCTCCTCCGCAGAATAACTGATTAATTTACAAACGCTCAACACCCGTTAAATATAGCCGGCAAAAAAGCTTAATTAAATTGTTGCCAGCATCACAGTTAGTCACCAACACTCTGGATAACATGAAAACAGCTCTGCTAGGGCGAGTAAAATGGTCAGAGTGAGGTGTTCCTTCATTTTTGTCTGGAAGTAGCTAGCAAGCTAGCCAACGTTAGCCTGTTAGCTTGGGCGCTTGACTGCCGTTGTGAGGTCTGAACGCTCGGATCAACCCTACTCCTCAGCCAGAGCGTCCAGTGTGCGCTCTGAACACTCCGATAGCCGAAACGCTCTGAATTTACGAACGGACAATCTGACAATGTTCTGAATTTACGAACGCCCAGAACGCGTTCGTAAATTTATGAACACACCCAGTCAGGGCACGATCACAGAGTTTCTAAAAACAGAGACGCAACATCGCAAGACTTCTGTGAACGCTTGCGAAGCAGACCAGGCCGGGGTTTGAGAAGTCAAGGAGAGAAGTGAAAGATTATTCCTTAGTTGTTAATTTTCTCGAAATCTAAAGGCACAACCTAGATTCGAGCCAATATCTTAAGTATTTGAACATGCTATTACTCCAACCTCGTGAAAGTGACAAACTGCTAAGTTTTTATTTTCTTCCAAAACGACTTTATATCGAAGTAGTGCCTTTGATTTGACGGCCTGCATATGCGCAGTTCGGCGCGAGACGACCGTTAGACCCGATGACGTGTTACTGCGCATGAGCTTAGCTAGCCAACGTAGCCATGACATGGCCTACAAGCGTGATCGGGGAGTTCTATTGGAGAATCAGTTTCTACCCATCTTCATACTGTACTGTCTTTGGTATGACTGTGCTTTCAAAACAACCTGGAACTCGGAAAAAAATTCGTGAAAACATGAAGTCAGTGATCTTTAGGTCGGAGCTCTAGAAACATGCCCTAGTTTCCGACCTGGAATTCCGAGTTGGATGACCGTTCAAAACGATTTTTACCAGTCGAAGCTCGTTTTTTTCCGAATTCCCAATTGTTTTGAACGCTGCATTAGTTGAGAAACCTCCTATTTTCCTCGAAAGTACGTAATGTAATGATTCCAAACCTACACGATATTACAGAGAACAAGTTAATTATCTCACGTCCCGGAAAATATTTGTACTGTTGTACTTCTTGTTGACGAAATTCATGCTAATGTTTCTCTTTTATTGCTAGCGCCAAATTGACTCCCCTTGTCGCAGAATCGCCCAAAATGCACCGCGCGTCCCATTGACAACGCATGTGCAAAGTACACAATGGGCGATTTTATGATTCTAATGGAGTTTCCCATCTCCTCAAAAGTATCTCTGGCCCGATCGGGGATTTCTATTGGAGAAGCAGTTTCTAGACATCTTCATACTTAAACATCTTTGAGGCTACTCTCCGTTAGTTCTGGTCTGTGGACGCGAGTAGTGTTCTGGGACTGTACGAGGGGCCTTCAAAAGGAATTTTAAATCATGTCTGAAGTATGTATCGAATTTGTATTGTTTTGGTTATTATATTGTAGTTACCATAATCAATCATAACATGCATAGTTATATTATTATGTTGATTTTCAGGTTCAAGTGCATGTTCGCTAACGTGTCAAAACTGTAAGTCGCTCTGGATAAGAGCGTCTGCTAAATGACTAAAATGTAAAATGTAATGTGTCAAGTTGGCCTTGTCAGCTAACGCCAGGTTAAAGTTACCGTTAGCTACTGTTAACGTTATTGTGTTTAGCTATGTAACTAATTAGCTAGAACAAAGGAGTATTATTGTTTTAGCCAACCAGCTTTGAATTTAGCATAACTCATTCTAAGGAGTTGGCACTTGACTTGGCACCACTAGTTATCCCTGTCAGTCTTGTATCAAGTTTAAATTAAACTGGTCTAACTTGGTTATTGCCTTAACGGAGTCATTCCCATGCCCCCACCCAATGAAACGACCCCATTTAATTTGTTTGCCAGCTCAATATCTGATTTCATTCCCAAACCAGAGGATTGGGTTTGGCACAACTGTCATCCTGCTTTAAGGGTGTGGTGCGGCTTTCGACATAGCCCAAGGCGCTGATTGTGTGTGGACTTCAAACTGTGTGTGGACTTCAAACACTCTCCTGGGTTGTATATCATTGCTTGCGTATATATTATCCTGGGGAGAAGAAACATGTTAAAGTTATTATAGCTAACGTTGACTAGCGTTTAACTTGTTGTTTGGAGTTATAGCATGAAGGAAGAAGTGTTGGCGTTTTGCCCAATTCTTTCATCATAACAGGATCACTCTAGGGCAAGAAGCGCCCTGAACGAAGGTTTTGAGGCCAGTTTCTATGTTCTTCCATTCTGGTCTAAAGTTGCTCACAATATAATGTCATCATGACTTTGATGCGGTTTTACTGCCTGTAGGCAAATAAAATGGATCTAGATGAGATCAAGGTTCAATTTACGCCAGCACTGACTCTTTCTCAATTGCTCCAGCGATTATCTAGCTCAGGGATGGGCAACTGGCGGCCCACATGAAATAACTGATCTCTGAAATTGTTCATACCCACAAAATTGCACACATTTGTTTACATCCCTGTTAGTGAGCATTTCTCCTTTGCCAAGCTAGTCCAGCCACCTGACAGGTGTGGCATATCAAGAAGCTGATTAAACAGCATGATCATTACACAGGTGCACCTTCTTCTGGGGACAATAAAAGGCCACTCTAAAATGTGCAGTTTTGTCACACAACACAATGCCACAGATGTCTCAAGTTTTGAGGGAGTGTACAATTGGCATGCTCACTGCAGGAATGTCCACCAGAGCTGTTGCCAGATAATTTAATGTTCATTTCTCTACCATAAGCTGCCTCCAATGTCGTTTTAGAGAATTTGGCAGTACGTCCAACTGGCCTCACAACTTCAGACACGTGTAACCACGCCATCCCAGGATCTCCACATCCGGCTTTTTCAGCTGTGGGATGGTCTGAGACGAGCCACTCAGACAGCTGATAAAACTGTGGGTTTGCACAAACAAATAATTTCTGCACAAACTGTCAGAAACGGTCTCAGGGAAGCTCATCTGCGTGGTCGTTGTCCTCACCAGGGTCTTGACCTGACTGCATTTCGGCGTCATAACCGACTTCAGTGGGCAAATACTCACCTTTGATGGCCGCTGGAGAAGTGTGCTCTTCACGGTTGAAAAGTTTGCAACGTTGTGAACAGAGTGCCCAATGGTGGTGGTGGGGTTATAGTATAGGCAGGAATAAGCTACGGACAACGAACACAATTGCATTTTATCAATGGCAATTTGAATGCGCAGAGATACCATGACTAGATCCTAAGGCCCATTGTCGTGCAATTCATCTGCCGCAATCACCTCATGTTTCAGCATGATAATGCACGGCCCCATGTCGCAAGGATCTGTACACAATTCCTGGAAGCTGAAAAGGACCTAGTTCTTCCATGGCCTGCATACTCACCAGACATGTCACCCATTGAGCATGTTTGGTATGCTCTGGGTCGACGTGTACGACAGCGTGTTCCAGTTCTAGCCAATATCCAGTAACTTCACACAGCCATTGAAGAGGAGTGGGACAACAATTCCACAGACCACAATCAAGTCTGATCAACTCTATGCGAAGCAGATGTGTCGCGCTGCATGAGACAAATGGTGTTCACACCAGATACTGACTGGTTTTCTGATCCACGCCCCTACCTTTTTTTAAAGGTATCTGTGACCAACTGATGCATATCTGTATTCCCAGTCATGTGAAATCCATAGATTAGGGCCTAATGAATTCATTTCAATTGACTGATTTCCTTATATGAACTGTAACTCAGTAAAATCTTTGAAATTGTTGCGTTTATATTTGTTCAGTGTAGAATACACAAGGTGCAATTTCGAAATTTGGTTGTGATCAGCAGTTTTTGTCTTATTATGATAGTCACTCAATTGGCCCATGTCAGCTACATTTTTTTAGATTGCTGAATGAGTTTAGTCGCCAGCTATCATGGTCGAATTACCGACTGCGGGCCCCCATTGATTTTGTTAGTCAGTCTCACTAAGATATCTTATTAAAAACTGCAAACCTTTCTCTCCACCCTATGGCAAATGTGTAGAATTGCAGGACATTTTTTATAAAATTGCAAAATCTTCTCTCCATCCCATGGCAAAATGTTAAGATTTGCAGCAAACATAGGGTGTGTCAATTTATGGGAAAATACACGTTTAAAAATTTCGACCAATCGAAACAGATGACTCTTGGTCGTCTTTTTTTTTGTCGGGGGACAGCCCTAATAGAATTGCACGAAATTAACTCTAAAATGTAAAACATTTCTCTCCACTAAAATGTTTTTTTGCTCGCAATGGGGGGGGGGGGGGGGGTATGGATGTGGGTATGCAGACCCGTGAGCAACTGCAGACCCTCATGATGAGTTCAGATTTTTTGTGGCCTCACCCCCAAGTTGCTTATCCCTGATCTAGCTTAACCCTTTTGAGACATAGATCTGCTCATTCTACTTACTGTAAGGTTGCTGCCATTTTCTAATGACACTGTACAGGAACCTGTCCATCATATCTAACTGATTTCACTTGGGAGCAGCAATTTTCATGTGCAGGCATTTCTATCTCTATGTTTAGCTGACTTTAACCGCATATTTTGCTTCTGCCCGACCCAGGCGGACTTTGATAAGGCTGCAGAGGAGGTGAAGCAGCTGAAGGCTAAGCCAGCAGATGGAGAGATGCTCAGGGTCTACGCTCTGTTCAAACAGGCCAAAGTGGGCGACGTCAACACCGGTAAGCCAGTCGGCATCCTTCCAGTGCTTTGTGATACCCCTCAATTCTAGAAGTCTCATTGTATTGATTATAGTCTGTTGATCGTGTGTGTTTTTCTTTGTTCCTGAAGCTCGTCCTGGGATGCTGGATTTCACTGGGAAAGCCAAGTGGGACGCCTGGGAGAAAGAGAAAGGTGTGTTTCCTGTAGTCCTTCCTCATTTAGCCTGTAGAGGGCACTGCTCTTCACCTATATTAGGGGATCAGTTTTATACAGCTGTGGATCCCCTCAGCTCAATGCATTTACGCTGTCATAAAGTATACTGGTAGAGCCAGACAGTTCTTAAACAGTAACTCATTATTAATATGTCAACTAAATGTGTTTTCCTTTTCTTACTTGACTCCCATAGGAAAGAGCAAAGAGGATGCCAGGAAGGAGTACATTGCCTTGGTAGAGGAGCTGAAAGGGAAGTACGGAGTCTAAGAACTGACTGACTGACCAGGCCGACCGCTGGCAGTGTAGAACCATGACCTCTGTGGTCAGCCCACACCTTGTCCCTGTGAAGTGCCTTAATCCCAAGGAGTATGCCCTTTTCTGGGGCAAATACATATGTCAAATACTTTGTAATTCTAGAGGTGCACTTGGTTTAGCAGAGGTGCGTGCAGGGTGGTTGGAGTTTGCACTTTTTGGACTATTCAAATGGTTCCATTGTACTGAACTACCTAAATCAAGAGCACCTCAATTGACATATGTGTTTTACCCAGGAATGTTTGCTACTGTGTATTGCATGTGAATGCTGAATGCCTAGTGTGGACCGCCTATGGTCACACTGAGAATACAGGACCAACAAGCCACCGCTACGGACAGAGACAAACCGTCCTCCACCAGCAACTTTCTAGTGAATGTTCTCAACTGGTTGTTCAGCCCACAACCTCCATAAAGTCTAAATTTGTTTTAACATTTCTGTTGTCAAGCTTGGTTATTTTATGTGATGAGATTATATAATTTGCCTTGCATCACATACTCAGTAAACCACAATGTACACTTTGTCACTCACAACTGTGCCCCTTCACACGTTCAAAACATTTGTATATTCAGTAAATGTATAAACTCAGAAATCAAGAAGAATACTTTGCCCATTTTCCAGCTTGTTTTGTTCCACCTTGCACCATGTCCCAGGGCCAATGGTCACTGAGAAACAACACTTGGCACTTGTAGCTTATCGTTTCTTGCATAATGCATCTGGCAGTTTCACAAGATCATTATACTTTTTTGTAGTAATGGTTAGCTCTTATTAGTTCAGGAGGCATGTTGAGCTTTGCACTGCTTTCTCACTGTTTGAGACGACATTTCTCGGTAGAGAAGAGTTGTTCATGCAAGAATTGGGTAGGCCTACATGTATATTAGTAATGGTGTGGTATTGGGAAGCTAAACAATTGCAATACTTGCGCAGTATAAATCTCTGCTGTCATGGAAAAAACATTCTTCCTTCCTGTCTGCTTCTCCTGGCGATAGCAGAGTATCCCGTGACCAGACTTCTAATAACTGCGGGGGGAAAAGTCAATCAATTCTGGCTGAATAACTAGAGGGAGGGGACGGTTGAGTTTATTCCCAAAGGAGACTTGCATTGTTTTACAAATGATGTTTGTTAATCATACACAGGTCTAAACTCCCACTGAACTTTTGATATTTGAAGTGAACACATTTTCTGCTGCCACTTCTGCCTCTCGGTCAAGTGGAGGACAACACCATGACCGCTATTCAGATAAAGGTAAATAGTCATGTTTTTTATTATAATGACTGTCGTTAGATTTGCTTGTAAATAACAGTATAAATGCTTCTAAATAAGTAGGATACATCTGTTTTTGTCAGATTGCCAATGGTATGTCCATGATGTTAATTTTTTTCAGTGATATTCAGTGTTCTGTCATTACTGATGTGGTTGCTTGTGTTAGTGCATCAGCATTGAAACAACAGACTTTCAGAGACATTCTCTCATACATTCTTTCATTTTATGATCACCTCGTTCCAACTCTCTCACATAGCCCACATAATCCTCTCAGGACCTCACTGCTCTCTGGAGTGATGTTGTTCCCAAACCTTTACTGTTTGTGTGAGGCGTGGCAGACTTATTTGATTGAATAATCAATTACTGTGCAAGCTAAAGACATGATAAGAAAAACTCAGTAGACAAATATGTCAATGAAATATAGGCAGATAGGCTATCAAGGAGCTGACGCAAATCACACTAATCCAATAGCCTGTTTTTTGTTCCCTTATATGCCTACAGTCTTAATTCACATGAATGAATGCACCCAATGTATTCTACACAGCTGGGTCTGGTATTCAAGCCCTAGTTTCTCCTTAATCTACTGATTCAAACTCTGCTGGAGAGCAACTTTACCAAGGTTACTGGGTTCAGGACTCCAGATAGATTTACTTACAGTGGAGTTTAAGGCACGTCCCTGTGGTCACATATTGCCCTCTGTCCAAGTCACACGTCTCTGCTGTACTCTGTACCTGCATAATTTTAAACTCCAAATTCACTAAATTCCCTTCCTGTAGGTCCCAGGAGGAGCACCCCGACAGAGGAAGGCCCGGCCTCTCTTCCTGGAGGTGTTGACCCGCAGCCTGATCATCCTCTGCACGGCCCTGGCCATTGTCCTCTCCTCCATAGCCGTATGCGACGGCCACTGGTTGCTGGCGGACGGCGGGAGGATGTTTGGTCTGTGGCACTTCTGCACCCTGGAGGCAGTGGTGGAACAAACAGCCTCACCTAACTGCACCACCCACCTAGGTGTATCTGGGGTGGCGGTGGGCCTGGGCCTGTGTCGCTCTGTGGTCTCCCTAGCCGTGGTGGGAGCCATCTTTGGCCTGGAGTTGCTGGTCATATCGCAGGTGAGTGAGGGCCGGGACTCGGGCCGGAGGTGGAGCCTGGGGTCAGCTCTAGTGCTGGTTGCGGCGGTGCTGTCGTCGGGGGGAGTGGTGGTGTTTGTGGCTCTGCTCTGGCAGCACGCCTCTCCCTTGGGCTTCACCCTCACCTTCTGGTGCCAGTTTACCGCAGTCTTCCTGCTCTTCCTCAACGGCACAGCAGCGCGCCACATCCATCACATGGCCCTGCGGGCACCTCCTGGAGGCCGCCTGGGGAAATGCTAGAGGTGAAAGAGCACAGGGAATCCAGTAGTGTCCAGCTACAGTAGTACTGCAGAAGGCATTTTCATGTTCCAAACACACAGACGTCCCAGGAACAGTGATTTCCTGTTGGGTTTAGGGTTACGCCCAGGGTTGAGGACTGTGGAGTACAGTGGACATCAGGACAACTCTGGGTCTTTTGGAATGGATCAGCTGTATGTATGATTCCTCAAGGCCTTGTGCATGTGCAGCTTGTTAATAACACATACTGGGAACAGTAAACAATGACTGCTACCTGTCTATATGCAGTCAAATCATCTTCATTTTTGTGTGGAAATACAGCTCTTGATTGTGTGGAATCTTTTTTTTTTTTTTTTTTTACAACATTCGTTTTTCTTAGTTACACTGAGCGTAGAGTTGTAAATACTGTTTAACTACCTTTTATCCCCCTTGGCCTCATACAGTGGGGGAAAAAAGTATTTAGTCAGCCACCAATTGTGCAAGTTCTCCCACTTAAAAAGATGAGAGAGGCCTGTAAATTTCATCATAGGTACACGTCAACTATGACAGACAAAATGAGGAAATAAAATCCAGAAAATCACATTGTAGGATTTTTTATGAATTTATTTGCAAATTATGGTGGAAAATAAGTATTTGGTCAATAACAAAAGTTTCTCAATACTTTGTTATATACCCTTTGTTGGCAATGACACAGGTCAAACGTTTTCTGTAAGTCTTCACAAGGTTTTCACACACTGTTGCTGGTATTTTGGCCCATTCCTCCATGCAGATCTCCTCTAGAGCAGTGATGTTTTGGGGCTGTCGCTGGGCAACACGGACTTTCAACTCCCTCCAAAGATTTTCTATGGGGTTGAGATCTGGAGACTGGCTAGGCCACTCCAGGACCTTGAAATGCTTCTTACGAAGCCACTCCTTCGTTGCCCGGGCGGTGTGTTTGGGATCATTGTCATGCATCTCGCTCTTTCTCTCTCTGACTCTCTCTCTCTCTGACTCTCTTTCTCTCTCTACGACTCTCTCTCTCTCTCTGACTCTCTCTCTCTCTGACTCTCTCTCTCTCTCCGACTCTCTCTCCCTCGGGACTCTCTTCTCTCTCTCTCTTGACCTCTCTCTCTCTGACTCATCTCGCTCTCTCTCTCTCTCTGACGCTTCTTTCTCGGGACTCTCTCTCTCTGACTATGACTCTCTTCTCTCTGACTCTCTGACTCTCCTCTCTTCTCTTCTCTCTCTCTCTCTCTATCTCCTCTCTCTCCTCTCGCTCTCCTTTCTCTGTGCTAGCCAGGACAGGGACATCTGTCACCCTTATACATTTCGCTATTCTCTCTCTGACTCCTCTCTCTTTGACTCTCTCTTCTCTCTCTCTCTCTCTATCTCTCTCTCTCTCTTTTTCCCCTTTCTTGAACTCTCTCTCTCTCGACTCTCTCTTTTTCTCTCTTTACCTCTCTTCTAGCTCTTTTCTCTCTCTGTTAGCCCCAGGACACTCCCTCCGCCCCTTTTACATCTTTGCTCTTTCGCTCCTCCTTTGACTCCTCTCTTAATTTTTTGACTTTTCTTCTCTCTGTTAGCCCAGAGGGCACGCGTCTACCCTTATTTAAAACTCGCTCTTTGGGTTTTTATTGGGGAATTTTCTCTCTCTCCCGGAACTCTCTCTCTCTCCCCTGACTCTTTTTTCTCTCCCCTGACCTTTCTCTCTTCTCTCTGACTCTCTTTTCCTCTCTTCTTCCCTTATCTCTCTTTCTCTGACTCTTTTTCTTCTCTCCCACTTTTCTCTCTCTCCGGGCTCTCTTTCTCCTAAACCTACGGTCTTTCTCTCTCTCCCCTCTCTCTCTCTCTCTCTCTTTCTCTTCCCCCTTCTTTTCCCCCTTCCCCTTCCCCTCCTCTCTCTCTGTTAGCCCAGGACACTCGTCCCCGCCCTTTCTACCTCTCGATCTTTCGCTCCTCTCTCTCTGACTCTCTCTCTCTGAATTCTCTCTTGACTCTCTCTCTCTCTCTCTCTCTGACTCTCTCCCTTCTCTTCTGTTAGCCCAGGACACGCCCGTCTTAACCTTAGACATCTCGCTCTTTCGCTATCTCTGACTCTCTCTCTCTCTTCCGACCTCTTCTTCTCCTCTTCTTGACTCTCTCTCTCTTCTCTATGACTCGCTCTCTCTTCTCTCTATCGACTCTTCTCTCTCTCGGTTAGCACCAAGGACACGCCCCCGTTTCTTCCCTTATACATCTCGACTCTTTCGCTCTCTTGACTCTCTCTCTCTCTCCTGACTATCTCTCTCTATATCTCTCTGACTCTTCTCTCTCTGGACCTCTCTCTTCTCCTATCGCTCCTCTCTCTCTTCTCTCTCGGACTCTCTCTCTCCTCTCTCTCTCTCTCTCTCTCCTCTCTCCCTCTCTCTGACTCTCTCTCTCTCTGAAAAAGTCACAACTCATAAAGTGGGGGGAAAAAGTATTTAGTCAGCCACCAATTGTGCATGTTCTCCCACTTAAAAAGATGAGAGAGGCCTGTAATTTTCATCATAGGTACACGTCAACTATGACCAGACAAATTGAGGAAAAAAAATCAAGAAAATCACATTGTAGGATTTTTAATGAATTATTTGCCAAATTATGGTGGAAAATAAGTATTTGGTCACCTACCAAACAAGCAAGATTTCTGGCTCTCACAGACCTGTAACTTCTTCTTTAAGAGGCTCCTCTGTCCTCCACTCCTGTTACCTGTATTAATGGCACCTGTTTGAACTTGTTATCAGTATAAAAGACACCTGTCCACAACCTCAAACAGTCACACTCCAAACTCCACTATGGCCAAGACCAAAGAGCTGTCAAAGGACACCAGAAACAAAATTGTAGACCTGCACCAGGCTGGGAAGACTGAATCTGCAATAGGTAAGCAGCTTGGTTTGAAGAAATCAACTGTGGGAGCAATTATTAGGAAATGGAAGACATACAAGACCACTGATAATCTCCCTCGATCTGGGGCTCCACGCAAGATCTCACCCTGTGGGGTCATAATGATCCACAAGAACGGTGAGCAAAAATCCCAGAACCACACGGGGGGACCTAGTGAATGACCTGCAGAGAGCTGGGACCAATAGTAACAAAGCCTACCATCAGTAACACACTACGCCGCCAGGGACTCAAATCCTGCAGTGCCAGACGTGTCCCCCTGCTTAAGCCAGTACATGTCCAGGCCCGTCTGAAGTTTGCTAGAGTGCATTTGGATGATCCAGAAGAGGATTGGGAGAATGTCATATGGTCAGATGAACCAAAATAGAACTTCTTGGTAAAAACTCAACTCGTCGTGTTTTGGAGGACAAAGAATGCTGAGTTGCATCCAAAGAACACCATACCTACTGTGAAGCATGGGGGTGGAAACATCATGCTTTGGGGCTGTTTTTCTGCAAAGGGACCAGGACGACTGATCCGTGTAAAGGAAAGAATGAATGGGGCCATGTATCGTGAGATTTTGAGTGAAAACCTCCTTCCATCAGCAAGGGCATTGAAGATGAAACGTTGGCTGGGTCTTTCAGCATGGACAATGATCCCCAAACACACCGCCCGGGCAACGAAGGAGTGGCTTCGTAAGAAGCATTTCAAGGTCCTGGAGTGGCCTAGCCAGTCCCCAGATCTCAACCCCATAGAAAATCTTTGGAGGGAGTTGAAAAGTACGTGTTGCCCAGCGACCAGCCCCAAAACATCACTGCTCTAGAGGAGATCTGCATGGAGGAATGGGCCAAAATACCAGCAACAGTGTGTGAAACCTTGTGAAGACTTACAGAAAACCGTTTGACCTGTGTCATTGCCAACAAAGGGTATATAACAAAGTATTGAGAAACTTTTGTTATTGACCAAATACTTATTTTCCACCATAATTTGCAAATAAATTCATTAAAATCCTACAATGTGATTTTCTGGATTTTTTTCTTCTCATTTTGTCTGTCATAGTTGACGTGTACCTATGATGAAAATTACAGGCCTCTCTCATCTTTTTAAGTGGCAGAACTTGCACAATTGGTGGCTGACTAAATACTTTTTTTCCCCCACTGTAGCTACAGTATGTAAGCCAGTGGTAACTGATTAAACAACCCAGTAAGAGATAGGAAGGATAATTACTTTTATAATACATTTATGACATTTATTGTGAGAGTTGATCTTCTCATTGCATCAAGTCGTACCAATGTTCCTTGGAAGGAATGTATA